GAAAGTGGAAAGGAGATAGGAAACTATAGATCATTTAGTATTCTGCATCATATCTAAAATTCTTAAAAAGTTTATTTATAGACGACTGCAGACAATTTGCTTGAAAGCGATTTGTTATATCGATTTCAGTCCGGCTTTGGAGCTCGTACTGCACTGATACTTGTATTATCCATCTGTTTGACCACATAAAATCCCAAACTTTTAAAGGGTTATTTCCAGAAATGATCATAATAGACGAACAACAAGACTTTGACACTGTCGATCACCAAATACTTTATAAACAATTAAGATATATTGGAGTTAAAGATGTAAAATGGTTTGAGTCATACCTATCAGGAGGCAAACAGCTTGTAAATGTTAATGGTACCGAATCTGAATTCCTTAATATCACATGTGGAGTCTTCTAAGGAAGTATTCTAGGACACTTTTTCATATAGAAATCTCAATGTTATATCATCAAAGCTAGCAAAATATTGTAGTCTTGTACTGACTGGCTCGATGACAAAAAAACTTTCATAACACTTAAGCAAAACAGAATGTATCATCTCTGGGCCGAAACAAAATTGAAACGAGTATTAAATTTTGAGGTAAAAGTCATGAAATTAAGTAGCAATCTAAACTTAGATATTTATGTCTAGACATTGATAAAAACTTATCCGTGGAGAGCACATTTAAATCTCTCATTAAAAGGGTAAATTCTAGACTAAAAAGTAATGTACCGTAAGGCAAATTGCCTGTCCACAAAAACCAGTAAAACGTTTACAATGGCTCTTTTTCAATGTCACTCTGATGATACCTGCTTCTCCTGGTGTGCCGGTATATCATACAAGTAAAAAATAGCCTTACAATGGCAAAAAACAAACTGTTAGATTCGTTAAATTTCTTGTTCAAAAAATCAGAAGGATGTATGCCTCATCATTCTTTTTCAATGCAACCAAGGACTGAAATGCGCTGCCAAGTTCGTTAAAGTCAATTAAAGAAACTCGTCATAAATATCAAGATTCCATGATTAAAATGTGTACGTCAGAAGCGTGTTTCGTCTACCAAAGACTTGTCAATGACGCTCAAATCCAAAACATTCAACCCATGGAGTATTTAAAGCCGAGTTAAGATTGTATTTTAGAAGTCGTTCAAATGTAAGAATTAGTATCTGAATAACATTTTAAAGAAAAATAAGCTAAATTTGAGCCTTTTTCCTCTTCGTTAAAAAGTGTTATACATGGAAATGACCCAATTTGAAGTAAGCGAAAACGCTTGTATGGGCAATCCTTTGAAAGATATCAATTTATAAGTGCATTTTAAAGGTTTGTTTGCATATTTTTACTTATAGGTTTATGTTTCATATTTCTAACCACACTTGTATAATTGATATTATTCCTTAAATAATCTTACCTTTACGTTTACCTTGTGCTGTTACAACACTCTTCCAGTTTAAGAACGGTTGAGCGCTCACATATATGTTTAATCAAGCCACATTCTTTATGTGCCTGTCAAAAGCCAGGAGCTGGTAATTCAGAGGTTGTTGTTGGTTCATGATTGCTTTTCGTTATTTGTATTGTTATACACGAGGCCGTTTGTTTTCACTTTTTGTTGTGCTTAACATTTTTCCTGTAAGGACCTTTTATGTGTGGATAGAAAGATTATAGGTTTATGTTTCATATTTCTAACCACACTTGTATAATTGATATTATTCCTTAAATAATCTTACCTTTACGTTTACCTTGTGCTGTTACAACACTCTTCCAGTTTAAGAACGGTTGAGCGCTCACATATATGTTTAATCAAGCCACATTCTTTATGTGCCTGTCAAAAGCCAGGAGCTGGTAATTCAGAGGTTGTTGTTGGTTCATGATTGCTTTTCGTTATTTGTATTGTTATACACGAGGCCGTTTGTTTTCACTTTTTGTTGTGCTTAACATTTTTCCTGTAAGGACCTTTTATGTGTGGATAGAAAGAAAAGAAAGATATGAGGGATTAACAGCTGCTGACTTTACGGAATGCGTTTTTCTCATTGATCTAGGCCGTACGGTGCTTATTCCTTCGTCATTTGATCTCCAATTGGTAGGTTCTCATTTGCAATCATACACCAACTGCTTATTTCTATATATATGTACAATGTAAAATCATTAGTTTGATTCAATTGTGTGTGTTGTCATTTCATAGGATTATGTTTTATATGTATTTTAAATTTTACCCAAATTAGGTTTCCCTTAAGCAATTTTCCTGTGTTTACTTCGTTAATGTTAGTATATAGAATTTCAGTGATGAGGTTAGTACTTGTTAGTACACAATATACAGGATGGCTTATAAATAACATGCAACTTATTAAAAAGAAAATAATATAATATATGTTTTGTTTTCTGCTCGGATATATAATATACTTTATGTACAATAAAAAGTATAATGGTTAGAAAATCATTGATACTGTAATAATTTGTATTGTTTATCTTGTAACCATACAAAAGTGATGTAAGTGATATTATATGATGTCCTATTTTAAGTTTATCGAGTATTTGTGTAATGACTCCCATCTATTTTTTGCTGGGCATTAAATAATGGACTTCATTAAAGATAACCGTTTTATTTATTGTCATATAATCAACTCTATTAACACAAGGTAGCAGGCCACAGACCACAATTAATTCCCCCTATTAGTTCTTTATAACGTTTTGTCGCATTTAAAAAAATTTACCTGTTTTTTTTGTCAAATTTTTTGTGTGTGTAATGTACAGTACAAGTCCAAAAATATATCCAAGTTTCAGAAAAATTGAACGTTTACATCTTACAAATTTAGCCAATACACATCCATACCCCTATGGACAAGTCAAGAGATGTTCCGAAAACTGTAAATACTACCTTTTTGCACCTGGCCTTATCACTCTCTCCATATCAAAATCAGTTAAAATAAAACATCCAAAAATTTATTTCAGCTCTCTTCTTTCATTTCCACCTTATAAAATTTAAGAAATGTATGAGAAAAGGAAAGAAAAGAAATAAAGAAAAAATACACTTTAATTAAAGGGAACTATATTTGTGGACAACGAAAAGCAGGATCATTAATTGTGGTCTGGAGCCAGCATGAATAACAAAGGTATGCTGGTGTTCAATGAATGATTACAAAAGATGACAGGTGAGTATAATTCCAAAGTGGACGGTAAAAAGACTGTGCCGGTATCTGGCAGATATGTCAATAAATGATGCTGAGTCATCAATGTGAGCATGTAAATAAGGGAAAATGACAAAAGAGGGGAAAGAAACAAGGAAGATAATAAATGAAAGTCAACATTCAGAAACATCATGAAATATCTACGGACAAGTCAGTATAATTTGTTTAATTGATCCCAAAATAATTTCATATACTTGCATGTCAAAAAGTAATGTTCATAATCTTCAATGGCCTTACATATATTACATAAAGGTCTTTTAGTTATTTTCCAAGAGAAAAGTAATTGTTTGGTTGGTAAATTGATGTAATTTAGAAATTACAATCTTATAACGTCTTGGATATTGTTAAAGATAGAATCATAATGTAAAGTAATTATTTATACTTAATAATTTTGAAAATAAGAATGTTATTTGAACAATCAAAATAACACCATCAAAATTCATGCATCCAAAGCACAGTTTTCTGGATTTACCAAAACCTTAATTGGGACCGCTCAAAGAGGAATATTCTAAAGCCAAAGATGTATGAAAACCGAAATATTTGAAGAGCTATATGACCAACATGACTAAATAAATTCTAAGGTCACTTTTGGGCGTTGAAACCCGAGTTTCTTTATAATTTATAAATTTATAATTGGAAAATTATTGACAGGGTTATTCTTAATCATGTGAGTCATGTGAGAAACAAAGTACTGACTACTTTTCTAATGATACCGTAGTCAATCAGCATTCAAACATGCCACTCATGTTAATATTTCAAACACAGAAAACACATGATTATTGTATAAAAGTACCAAATCCTCTAAACACCTTATCAAATAATATTTCAAACCTCCTAAGAATTTTGCATGATTCATTTTACGACTGTAATGGCTTTCAATAAGTAACACACATCATTAGTGTACTGCCCATAACGCCATGACCAATAACAATTCTCAAATGTTGCAATCTTTCAAACGTAGGAAAAAATCTCATAAATGCTAGACTCTCAAAAAGACTGTGACAATGCCATAATATACTGTACCAGTACTTATATGACTGTGTGTAACACTTTTTTTTGTCTGTTGTTTCAACTTTCAAAAAGGTTGAAACGAACAGAAATCAACTTTCACTAAAAAAATAAGCAATTGTTCCACTGTTTAGGCAGTCATTTGCAGTCCTAACATGTTTCCAAAAGTTGTATATATCTTTAAATTATAATGTATAGAAAGAAACTTAATTAAGCAAAAATGATCAGCAAGACATGATCTGGAGAAAATATTCCCAAGACTTCTTATTGGAGTTATTGCCCTTTAATGACGATTTTTATCAATTTTTTTAGTTTTGCCTAATATAAAAAAGTATTCATTGATCATTTTTGTAACTTAAAATTTCTCTCTATTAATAATAATTCAATTTTCAAGATAAAAGGGAAAAATGAAAAAAAAATGGTAAAATTTGTCATTTATGGGCAATAACTCCTATAAGAAGTCATCTTACAGTTTTGATATTAGTAAACAATAGGTAGAACAACATTCTGACCAATTTTGCCCATGTCAGATTTTCTCTATGTATAAAGATTTTTAAAATAATAGACAAAACTTCCATTTTACCACTATGTTCTATTTTTAGCCATGTAGGCCATCTTGATTGGCAGTTGGGATCATCGGACACATTTTTAAACTAGATACACAAATGATGTGTGTGGAAAAGTTTGGTTTAATTATGTCCAGGACTTTTTAAAGGAATTTTTTTTGTAAAAGTTATCACAGGACAGACAAAAACAGACACCAAGTGATGAGAACAGCTAAACAATGTTAAAAAAGATAAAAAGGACAAATAAAGAACAAACTTAGTTGACAAGATCCTATGATATATTTGTAATTTTGTATTTAGCATTTCATTACAAGCAACCAAAACACATTTTAAATATAATGTTTGACTATTTAATCAAGTCATCTTTTATAAACAAGATCCTTTCTAAAAAAGCAGTAACTCAATATGTATTCTCAATAAATGTAGAAGAAATATTCATATATAAACCAAAATTACTTATCAGTACACTGATTAAGCTTATAGAAAAGACTCCAGTTCCGGAATAGCAGATATAATAAATAACAGGGTTTTATGACTTTTCCAAAGAGACATATTCTATTCATAAAAGTTGATATATAAATCTTCTGGTTAGCTGAGTTTTTTTTCTTAACTTATCAAGTTAAAATTCTGCTTAGTAAATGAACAACCATTCTGGGTCATTTCACATTCTCAGGATTTGTAAATTAAAGATTCATTCCAAATCTGAAAAAAAATAATATTAAGTTGATTAGAAAGTAGTTTTATAAGTGGTGCACTTGGCCCAAGAACATAGTTATTTTATAGTGCATTTCCTTTAGACAAAAAATGGAAATTAAACAAGAATGTGTCTATAGTAAATAGATGCCCCACTCGCCCTATCATTTTCTATGTTCAGTGAAATTGGGGTCAAAACTCTTATTTGGAATTAAAATTAGAAAGATCATATCATAGGGTACATGTGTACTACGTTTCAAGTTGATAGTTCAACTTCATTAAAAACTACCTTGACACAAAACTTTTAACATAAACCAGGAAAGATGGACGAACGGACAGAGGGACGAACAGATGAAGGAACGAACGGACGGAAGGAAAAACATAATGCCCATTAATGGGGCATAAACAATGGCAACTGCTCTTTCCAAAAAAGTACAGTGAAGAGTACTACTTTTGGGACAAATTATATAATAAACTGTTATCATAGAGATGGGTCTCGCCTTTTTGTAATTTTGATTATGCAAATGTTGACATTAAAATAGCAATACTTTAACATGTTACATAAGTTATGCAGATATTCAAAATCAATGAACCATGACTGAGGTACATGGCTAAACAATCTCCATGTAAATGAGATGTGCCAATGCTAATACAACTGTATACCAAATACCATTGACTTATTATAAGTCATGTAAGTGATTCCCTTTAAACAAACCTAAACAAAAACATTAACTTGTAAACTAAGTAAAAGTTTCAAATTTAATAAACCAAGAAGAGTGGGTGGGGCTATACAATCTCCATGGAAACGATACTTGCAAATGCCAATAACTTTGCATACCAAATATCATTGACTTAACATAAGCAGTTCATCTTAAACTGATCTAATCACAGGCTTATACATGAAAACTAAGCAAAAGTTTCAAAGTCAATAGACCATGACTGAAGGGGTGGGGCCAAATATTCTCCATGGAAATGAGATGCGCTAATGCTTATACAACTGAATACCAATTAACATTGGCCTACCACTAATGGTTCCCTTAAAACTGACCTAATCACAAACTAATACATGTTAACTTAGCAAAAGTTTCAAAGTCAATAGACCATGACTAAGGGGGCGGAGCCAAATAATCTCTATGGAAATGAGATATGCCAATGCTTATACAACTGCATACCAAATATCATTGACCTACCACTAGTGGTTCCCTGTAAACTGACCTTATCACAAACTAATACATGTAAAATAAGCAAAAGTTTCAAAGTCAATAGACCATGACTGAGGGGGCAGGGCCAAATAATCTCACATTTAAACATCTAATTACAACTGGTGTTGGGAAGAAACCTGTGAAAACTTAACTTTTGTGAGGAACATACAGTTAATATTCTTCAGTTACTAATTAATGTGTATGAACCAAACATCTTCCTAATCCAGAAAAAATCTTTCAACTATGAGGAAATTTGTTAAAGAAAGATTCACTGTTTAAAATAAGATGTTATGTTAACATCAAAGAGATAACAAGAGTGCACACGCTGAAATGTCTCTCCTTCTTTACTAACCATTGATATTATGTTGATAGTCCTAAATATAAGCTTTACTACAACTATCACATACAATTAACATTATCGGATGATCAGATCCAAGAAAATGAGGTCAAGGTCATATAAACCAAACGAGAAATACATGTACACCTTACAATCATTCAAAAAACTAAATATAGTTGACCTATTGCTTATATTTTCTAAGAAACAGACTTAACTAAGAAAACTAAACATTGACCAATTGACCATGAAAATGAGGTCAAGGTCATATGAACCATGCTAGGCAGACATGTACTGCTTACAATCCTTCCATACAACAAATATAGTTGACTTATTGCTTATAGTATAAGAAAAACATACCATAACACAAAAACTTAACACTGAGCAATGAACCATGAAAATGAGGTCAAGGTCAAATACAATCTGTGAGACTAACATGTACATCATAAAATATTTCCATACACCAAATATATTTGACATATTGCATATAGTATAAGAAAGACCAAAACTCAAAAACTTAACTTTGACCACTGAACCATGAAAATGAGGTCAAGGTCAGATGATACCTGCCAGTTGGACATGTACACCTTACAATCATTCTATAAACCAAATATAGAAGACCTATTGCTTATAGTATCTGAGATATGGACTTGACCATCAAAACTTAACCTTGTTCACTGATCCATGAAAATAGGTTGAGGTCAAGTGAAATCTGACAGGCATGAGTACCTTACAAGGTACGCACATACCAAATATAGTTATCCTATTACTCATAATAAGAGAGAAATTAACATTACAAAAAATCTTAACTTTATTTTCAAGTAGTCACTGAACCATGAAAATGTGGTCAAGGACAATGGACATGTGACAGACGGAAACTTCGTAACATAAGGCATCTATATACAAAGTATGAAGCATCCAGGTCTTCCACCTTCTAAAATAAAAAGCTTTTAACAAGTGGGTAAACGCTGCCGCCGCCGGATCACTTTCCCTATGTTGAGCTTTCTGCAACAAAAGTCGCAGGCTCGACCAAAACCAAATAAATAATATATATATGCATATTTCGTATCACAACTTTTCTAAAACATTGAGTAATTTGCAGCTTGATATATTTTGAATGTTGGAGCCTGAAATTCAGTATTTTTGAGGTGATTTACATTTGTCAGGTTGAGGCTATTTAACAGCTTGCTATATACATGTTTGTGGGATGGATTTGTGCTCATTGTTGAAGGCTGTAACTTGACCCATACACAACATACTGTGGATTCAGTTATTTCCGTGGATCGGGGACAACTTCCCTTTTTGTGGATATTTAATTTTATAGTTTTGCCAAAGTCTGCATACAACCCTATAGAAAATATGTTATTCATCAAACATCTAATGTCCTGGTTCACCTATACCCACAATATCCATGAAAAATGGTATCAACGAATAATAATGAATCAACAGTAATGACTCGAATTAATGTAAATAACCTTTGATGCAGCTCTGTGCACTATCGTATGTCTTAATGTAAGAGCATTTAGGTCTCTTTGGTAACCACCCCCTATCACCGTGGCAACAGGTATCCCTTGACGATGACATGAATCAATCACATAGAAATCTCTATCAAATAAACCTGAAATTAAAATATATTTTTTCAATCTGTAAGGATTAATTAATCAGGAAATATAACCCTTGGAAATAAAAGAACTTATCTCTGACACTTAACTTATACTTGTTGTATGTTGACTGCCATGAAACTAAGTCGATTTATCAGTAAAGAACTGTTGTTTTTTTTACCCAGTCAATCAGTCCAATATGGAAAAATAAAAATATTGAATATTTTCAAAAATTTGCTCTGTTTTTTTTTCTTTCTTCAATCATCATAAAAAGCTTTTGTCCAAGTTTCATACAATTTTATGAATGTTTGACAAAGTAATTGATGTTTAAAAATACTTTAATCACAGACTTAACCTGAATGTCAACTATATATATTTATATGCCTCATGAGCAGACAACAAAGAAATGTTGGATAGCTATGTCAAGCTTCCAAGACACCATGTTGTAAGGTAGACAAACATTTTTTTTTAAGGTCCAGTATGAAAAAAACGTGATAAGATCTGAAGACATCATTTTATATATAGAAAATTTATCTTTATAGAAATGCAAAAGTAAAACTAGATATGGACATTGACCCCCCCCCCCCCCCCCTTTACTGTTATGCCATGCCATATGCATGAGTATAGCTCCACATATTTTAGATTTGACAAACAGTGATGTAGGCATGCAACTAGAAATTGTTACACTGTCTGTACGACACAAACAATACTGCCTGACCTCAAGAAGGAGGAGATAGCCAGACAAACAGTGTATACTAATCTGGACGGATGTACGAATGGATGGACGGACAAACAGACAGACTAGGGTAAATTAATATGCCCAATGACATTTTGTCGCGGAGGCATAACAAGAAACTTTCCTGAAAGACTTGAGGTATTGAAAAGTACCCAAAATGTTCATGCCTCCTCTGACCATATGGATACCCCATTTTGTTTAATTTTCTATATAAAAACTGGTGGGATTTTTGGGAGGGTATTCATTTACATCTAATAAAATGACAAATACTTACACCCTGTGAAAATTACCGTTAACTATAAAACTGCTCAGCAACTATTACCTCTGAGGGCTGTTCCAGAAAATTCTATGTCCCCCCACCAGGGATGGCACTTGTTCAACCCTACTATCCACATAAATACAAATGAATTAGAACACTCCCTTTGGATTTTAGTATTTCAAATACAACCACCCACACAATTTTAAAAAAAATTGCCTTCGCTGCGGGGGACATAGTATTTTCTGGAAAAGCTCTAAACACTTGTTACCAAATTGTAACTGTGAGAGTTATCTACCTTGATCAGTGAGCTTAAGTCTGCCAAGCTCATCTTTCTCGTGTGGATCAACACCTGCATCATACAATACAAGGTCAGGTTTAACATGATCTAATATCCACGGTAAAATGTCTTTTAAAATTTTCATGTATTCCTCATCCTGTTGAAAAAAAATTTGAAAAGAAAAAAAGAAAACAGCACATTATAAATTTCATGCATCTGAAGCGCTTTTCTGGATTTACCTTCATCAAGAGCGCTCATAGCCGAATATTTGAAAGCAAAGGATATATAAAGACTGAAACAGATGAAAAGCTATATGACCAAAAATTACCAAAAAATAGCCAATTCCATCTAAGGTCAACTTTGCCTGAGGGCACTATATACTGTGAGTAAACTTGTATATGGCTCGACAGTAAATGTACACACATTGTTTTTTTTTTTCTTCATGCTATCTTGACCATGTGTTTTCTTTATTGTTTATCTCAGGTCATCATATTTTTCCCCAAATGTGTGGGATGTCATTTGTATGTTGAACTGTACAATATTTTGGTTAATCTTGTTATCCTTTTTAATTCTTTGTTTTTTACCAACCTCCATCCTATCTTTCAATCCAATATCAATATCACTCTCTTGTTTTTGAAAGGGAAAATTATTCTCATTATGCATAGAGAAGGTATATATATTACTGTTATCGCTGAAAATATAGGCTGTACCATCACCCTGAAAAACAATAAACATCTATAGATATTTATAAGCAATTTTATAGGGATAGATAAACTCATTACAGATACCAGGATTTAAATTTTGTACACCAGACGCACGTTTCTTCTACAAAAGATTCATTAGTGACATTAAAATCATAAAAGTAAAAAAGGCCAAACAAAGTATGAAGTCAAAAGTTAAATGAGAAATATAATTATGGTTATAATAACTATTCTAAAGTTTTTTTAAATATACATGAATGATATATTTCTCATGCACTCATTCACACATCTTGCTAAGTATAACTTGGAGTACTGTAAATTCAGAAATTATTGCAATGTTTTTATTATTGCGAAAAATGGGTTGTAATCGCAATAATTTAAACTCCCATTTTGAATTTTTTGTATGAATGAAGAAGGATTTTTTTCTCATTATTGCAAAAATTATAATCACATTTTGGTCTAAAATGACAAAATCGCAATAATAAATGCACGCAATAATATTGAATTTACAGTACTCTTATTTCAATGCTTTCTCATTGTTGAAGGCCGTACGGTTGCCTATAATTGCTTACATCCACTTCATTTGAACTTTGGTGGATAGTTGTTTCATTGGCAATCATACCACTTCTCCTTATTTTTATTTTGTGTCTATTGTTTTTACGTTAGTTGTTTTTGTGCTCGTACTGATCTTTTGAGTTAAGCCAATTGCAACTGATTTTTACAGTTTGTTCTTATGTTGTTCTGTTGCACCCCTGTCCCAGGATAGGGGAGGCTTTGAGCACTCATAAACATGTTTAACTCTGCCACATTCTTAATGTGCCTGTCCAAAGTCAGGAGCCTGTAGTACAGTGGTTGTCGTTGGTTTATGTCTGTCATATTTATTTTTCATAATTTTTTTTGTTATAAATTAGGCTTTTAGAATGAGAAAAAGAAATAGGGAAGAAATACATAGATCACAATTTTTCTAAAACTTTGAGTAATTTACAGCTGGATATATTTTTTATGTCAGGAGCCTGTAAATCTATGGTTGCCTTTTTTGCTTTAATTTGTTCATAGGTCTTTAGTTTTCTGGTTTGAATTGTTTCACATTTTTCATGTCAGGGCCTTTTATAGCGGACATCATGGTATGGGTTTTTCTCATTGTTGAAGGCCGTGTGATTTGCATACAATTGCTTATTTCCTCTTCATCTTAAGTTTGGTGGGTAGTTGTCTCAGTAGCAATCATACAACATCTCCTCAATGCTACAAATTATGTAATGTTCACTTAATCAGGTTTTAGTTTCAATAATCAGGAACTGGTATTTCATCAAGATTAGAATTGCTTAAAGTACATGAAGTAAATTTAACATAAAGCTGAAAATAAAAGAATTATTTTCAGTGCATTTTTTTTTCAACTTTAGATAGAAATTTGACTACAGCCTATTTTCAGTTTGCCTTGTGGTAATATGAATCTGGCTTATTTCTAACATAAACTAGACTTTGAGTAGCTAGTTGTATTTGTTAGGCTTAACATGGTAATCTTGAAGTGCAACACCATGCTTGAACTTGTAAAATCTAAAATATCAAGTTTGACAGGCAAATGGCAAAATGCATAAATAAATCAAAGACTACCTTTTGGATAGATTTTATCAAAATTTTAGGTCCACACTAAGAATGGAAATGTGCATTTGATATCATGCCCTTTGTATGAATCTAGTTGACAGCATTATTAGTAACTGTCCATTCATATGAATGAAACCCATTCAAAAACAAAATCAACACACAAATTTCCTTTAAAAATTAAGGTTGGTTTGCCTGTTTAAATTCATGCATTATAAGTTATCATCAATGAGGACGCTTAAATCAACTGTGACTTAAAAAAAAATTTCACTCATAAAAGATTTTGTTTGCTTAATTTCAAGGGGCCTCGTTGGCCGAGTGGTCTAAGTAGTGGAACTACTGTATCACTAGCCTGTCAATACTGAGGTTGGAATCCTGCACGTGGCAGGTGCGCTCAACTCCAATCTTAATTGACTAGGATTGTCAGTCTTCCTACAGAAGGTCAGTGTTTCTCTCCAGGCACTCCAACTTCCTCCATCAATAAAAACTGACCGCAACGAAATAGCACAACAGTGCTGAAAGTGGTGTTAAACACCAATCAATCAATCAATTTAATTTTGATATGTCTTGGATGTAAGATCTTGTTTGTTTACTTTTGATATCTCTTAGCTGTAAGATTTTGTTTGTTTGTTTTATTTCGATATGTCTTGGCTGTTTTGTTTGTTTTATCTCGATATGTCTTGGCTTAAAGATTTTGTTTGTTTTAACTTAATGATTATTTTCTCAAATACATTTTGTTAAATATTACGACAACCATGCCTGGTGTACATCCAGATCAACAACAACAACTCTGTGTACAGAACCTGTCTGGACCAGTGACATGGCTGTAACGGCAAGATCGTTGACTAGACAATATCCAGAACCATGGTCAGGAAAGGCATGATGTGTTCCTCCCCCAGTGCTGCAGGCTAATCCTCTATCTAAGGCAAGCTTTGCAGCAAGTAGTGTTCCAGCTAAATAATAATAGAGTGGAGGTCAAGGTTCATCAGCATTATACAACTTCAATCATAGAAAAATTTCTAAATTCAACATCTTTTTTTTTTTACAATGGAGTTGAACATCTTGGTTTGTGTGTGTTTTAACTTTTTTGATTCAAGCGTCACTGATGAGTCTTTTGTAGAAAAAATGGGAGTCTGGCGTATAAAATTATAAGTCTAGTATCTTTGATGAATTTTTTTTTCTAGATCGATGAAAAATGTTTCATTATCAGAACATACATGTATATATACTGTAAATTCATTATTAATCATGGAATACTAATTTTCATAGATTTCGTGGGTATAGAAATAGAAATTCTGTATCTAAAATAATCATGAACCCTTGCAGGTTTTAAATTTCATACAATGCATGATTACAATGATTTTATGTTTATGACAATAAATTAATAATAGAAGAACATGTCCATGGGACACAGATGCCCCCACTTGTAAATTTGCAAGAGTCAAAGTACTAATTCAAACCTATTGACATTTTGTTTTCTTTGAAACTTTTGTTTGTGTATGCTTAGTGCGCAAAAACAGTAAATTTGGCAATTTTTCATTAATTAATGGGACGTACTGATGGAGGAAAGGAAGACAGACGGACATAGACGGACAATGGTAAAACTTAATGCCCCATCCACCGCGGTGGATTTATAATAAAAAACAACATTATATAGCAATGGATAGTCAATGCATGCACATGAGAGAGAAATGTTAATAGGAGAGACAATTAATTTATATTGTAAGGATTATTTCCCTTTGAACAGTATCTAATAATATTTCAAGATATTATATCAGTGTTCTCCCCAGGAATTTTGGATAGCACCAGGGTAACGCGTGTGGACAGCTTGGTGAAATATTTCATACAATCAGTTGTGTCGCATCACGTTGTGTCGCATCGGGTCGCGTCGCTTAGCTCTATTTCTAGTTACTGTAGTTTTTATGTCTCTTGTTTTGTTTTAATACTGTGGTACTGTGTTATGTAGACATTGAGTCAGAAAATTATTGGTAAAAAAGAAGTAAATTAAAAAACAGTTTGTATACTGTAATATTTTTTTTAAATAAATAAATTATGATTCATAATAAAATATTCATCTGAATTTAAAGTATTTAAATCTTTTATAAAATCCAAAATCAATAAAAATAAAATATCATTCAAAAGAGAACAAAAATGTTTAATTTAAAAAACTTTCTAGTTTCTAGAAAGAAAGTTGTTGTATGTGAAAGGATTCCTGTCATAAGAAGATATAAAATTAACAAGAACAATTGCAAATATTGTTTCATTATTTGAACCAGTTTCTATCTTAGATTTTAATAAAAAGAAATTTTTCATAAATTTTAGAACATTTTGCCATAGATTTCATGTAAATATTAACCTTTCTTGTCTTTGGTGATAATCAAACATAGATACAGACTTAATACTGCACTGAAATCTAAATCTTTATTTGTTATGAACCATTTAAAAAAAAATTCCTAAATCTATAAATCTATCTTTGGTCTATAGATTTATAAGTAACCATATTCAATGTCAAACAACTAAGTCTCCCTATTTTCCCGCCTAAATGACAGGAAGTAGATATAAATAGAATTAACATGTGCTTATGGATAAAATTTGCAAGATTACTTCTGTTATTCATTAATTATGGATATAGATATCCAGTTTGAAGGTACAGTCATGCATTTTATTTATAAAATAGAATAGATTGCAATTAATTGTAAATAAACTTGAATATTCTACGTGAACTAACTGGGTCATGTGATACTACAGTTTGAAACCTGACTATCATGCAATAACTATGTCATAATTAAAGAAAATATTGGCCATGGTTTAATCAGAGACATATAATACTATAATATAAGAATTGAGAAATGTATAATTGTCAATTATATGTAATGAGCCACCTTTATGATGTACAAAAAATGTACCTATCGGGTCAAGAGACTGTTTGTGTACAAAGTATTTGCCGACTTGTCACAGGTCAGTGCTTGGGTGGTGAGTGAAGCCATAAAATAGTTATCTGTGATCATAAAGTTATGAACTCTTAATTAAAACATAAAACAATCATGTTACAAGTGTTAATTACATCGATTAAATCCAATCAACAAGGTTAACCTCATAAGGTAAATCGATCACGTGATGTAAACAATCTGTGTTGAACTGGTTTGAACTGGTCAAATTTCACCTGGAGTTTTATACCGCACGGAAAAGATTTAACAAGTCGTTTAAAACTTTACTGATTTACGATTTTTTAACTGAAAATTTTAGAACCACGGAAAAAAATTATACATCGCGGTAAGAACGATACCACCACGGTAAAAAATTATACATCGCGGGCCCGTGGTCCTTTGAGGGCCTGGGGAGAACACTGATTATATGTTGTTGAGGGTAGGAAAAAAAGCTCCCACTTATTTAATATAAGGCTTATTTTCTCCCATGTACATGCAGCAACCAATTAGATAAACATGATTTCAAATGTCCAACGAAGAACAAATTGTCTTTTTGCTTGTATACATACAGACTTTGGCAAAACTAAGATATCAAATATCCATAAAAATACAACTTTCCTCAATCCATGGAAATAAATGAATAGCTGAAACTAAAATAATTCTCTGTCTTATAAATTAGGAGCAAGAATTTTCTTTATCCAACTACTTCTATTTAAAGATCACAGTCAAGTTTGGTATTAAAAAAAATTGAAATATTAAAACTGTAAATCATTTTAATTAAAAAATTCTCAGTGTAGTTTTATTTCTAATGCGCTAGGGAAAAAATCATTTGTATAAATTGCTAGAATCTCTATATTATACCAACCTGTTTCATAACGAACTCTGTTAACTATTCCTTCACTCCACTGGAATCCAGTTTTCCTTTGTTCTATGGCAGTTGTCTGACCACATATAAATCTATCTATATAATGACTACTATGAACAACTTTAAACACTTCCGGATCCAACAAATCTGGTTCTACGATCTGTTTGGAAGAAACAACATTATCTTTTCTCAGATGGCGAATAACACCATGGAATTTTTTCATTGCAAACCTGTGTTTGATTGGTAGATCACAGACGTATCCATGGTGATGGACAATTGGAAGACCTTTAGATTCTAGTCTTTTTACCTGAAAAAATATATTTTAAGAGTTTGGAAAATTGGGATTGTTTTCATATTTTTTCTTCAAAATCAGATAATTTTTATACTGAAGACTTCTATTGCTAACATGTGCCTGTCCCAAGTCAGGAGCCTGTTATTTTTTGGTTGTGATCATTTGTCGCTGTATATCATATTTGTTTTTTGTTTTGTACATAAATATGGTCATTGTTTTTCTCCTTAGAATTCATTTTTACATAATTGCAATCATGGCAATATATCATATTCAATATTCATGATATTGCTATAAATGAAAAAGTAGGCTGCTAATAAATTTTTCTCTAAGTTCCACCTGAATGGTTAGGGATTTAACACCATATATTCATTAAAACAGAAATATGTGAAATAAAACTGTTAACATGCATTGAAACCAGAATTTGGTTGTAAAATGTTTGTTCATCTTGTATGATCGATTTACAATAAACATTACCTTTTTGGTATTTTCTAAGTCATTCTCTGACAACTGTTTGATAATTAGCGATGACAAATATCTAATTTTAGACCATGTTATCTCCACTTGATTAACACGTTGAAAGGTTTTCATCATTCATTGCCACCAATAACTGCAAGAAAAATCATTGTGTATTATTTATGGCAGTGTATTTGCGATTTATTTTGTCACTTGAAAATAAATAATTTCTTAAATAAACTCATCATAGACACCAGGATTAAAATTGTGTATGCAAGATCCGTGTTTTGTCTACAAAAGACTCATCAGTGATTCTGAGATCAAAAAAGTTATAAAGGTCAATTAAAGTTGAAGAGCATTGAGGAACTAAAATTCTGTAAGGTTTTGCCAAATACAGCTACGGTAATCTATTCCTGGGATAGAATATCCTAAGACTTTAGAAATTTTCAACGTTTTGTAAATAGTTAATCTTTTAGTCAACATTTTAATATTTTCAATCATAAAACAACTCCATTATTCTTGATACACAATATACCCTACATCCTCTAGGCAAAAATAAATACATAACATCTCACTATTTTACCCTTAAAAAGTTTGATTCATGAACCAGACACTCCATTAAATGTAATCATTACTTAAAAATGTTGAAATGAGTTAAAACTCTGAAGACTGCATGTATGTTGAACTATTGGTATATTTTGTGTTTACTTTACCATTTATCAGTCAGGGGTAATACTTATACAAGTCTTTTTTATTTACTTGAAGATTTAATTAATATTTACTTGTATAAGTAATTTTGTTAGATTTTTACCTTTTATAAAGGTTTAGATTATCTCCCCTTAATCTTCTCCAAAAATTTATTTATAAATACAAGTAATTTTTTTTTTACAACCCTTTAAATTCTCAAGTTTTGGGAGGTAACATGCCTAAACAGAATTTTTCTGGTTTGCAAATTAATTTTTATTTAGAGTTCAAACTTTTATCTCTAGAACAAAGCAAACAAGACCTATTGCGCAAAGAAGTTGGTCACCAAATTGTACTGATACGGTTCAAATTTTATATTTTATATATAAGAGTCAGGGCAAGATGACGCTATCAGGTCATTCCAGCCACAAGTAGATTTGGCCCAAGTCGGTCCAGCCCAAGTCGTTCTGGCCCCAAGTCGATCCGTCCCCATAATAAAATACAGAATAGTTACTATGAACATGATGAAAGTCAGAGAGTTTTGTGAAGTATTTGATTCAGGGTAAGTGGCAATTTGCACATGAAAAGTTGTGTAAATTTCGCTGATAGGAGGAATACTTATTAGGAAACAGTCATAACAGTATTGATGATCAATGACAACAGTCCGACAATGGAATAATCCAACAGCCCAATAAAACGACAACCAATTACTCTGACACTTAGAACTAATTATTGCACAATATCAGGGTAAAAAAAATATGTCTGTCTGTATCATAATGTATATGTTATTATATATGTACAGAAATAATTCTGTATATATTATATAGTTTGTTCGTATTCTGTTTATAAATACAGAATCTATTCTGTTGATTTGATATTGTATGGCTCAAATATGGTCAAACTGACATGACACCTTAAGGATAAGATTGGCTACTCTGCGTCTCATTAAAAACGACCTATGACTTTATGATCAAAAAAATTATTAAATTTGCTTTAAAGTAACCCGACAACCTGACATCCCTGATGCAATTTTTTAACAGGACCTAAGGGGGAATTTTACCGGGGCCCTGTATTGTGATGCATTAAGGTAGATTCAGGTATACCGCCATCTTGGATTGTACAATAGCAGTACACAATTGGTCTAGTTCTTTACCTAAATCTGCAAATTTTGAGACAGGTTTGCAATTCATGTGTAAGACTGTTTATTTGTATAAAGAAAAAATAGTGATTTATTGCATTATTCAAAATTTTTGAACAAATACTAATAACTGTGTTTTTTATAATAATCAATTTTTCAACTTGGACGTTTAAGGGGATATAACTCTCTTAGCATGTTTAGTAAAATGATATGTGAAATTTTCATTTTTTACTTGTAGCAAGAAAACAAGTTCGGTGATACCATTTCTTCTTTTTATTTTCTTAAATCATATTGTAAAACCCATCTTTTCATAATTTATTTCAAAATTCTATCTCATAGATTTCTTTTTATTCACAAAAATGTGTTTATTCATAATCATCATGATCATTGATAATCAATCTATGCAAATTTGGGCAATTTTGCACAACTTGTTGCTTGAAAAATAGCACGGTGACCCGTACTTTTTATAATATTTTTTAAAAAAGGATAGAAAAATCTTTATTTTGGCAAAGTAATAGAAAATTCTCTCTGAGGAAATATATACCAATAATCCACCTTAAGACACACTGTACATTTTACAAGATATTGTCAATAAATTGAATAATGTAATATCTGTTCTTGTCAATATACGCATCTTGACATTGACCTTCAGCATCACAAGCTTTTTTAAGGTGACATTGACGCAAATTTACTTCATAATTAAAAAAAAATCTATTTATTATAGTGTTATCTACAGTAGTTTGCCTCAACAATGTTCTTGACTGAACCAATGAATGAACAAGATTGATTGATTGATTGATTGGTGTTTAACGCCACTTTTAACACTTTTGTGCTATTTCGTTGCAGTCAGTTTTTATTTGATGGAGGAAGCCGGAGTGCCAGGAGAGAACCACCAACTTTCGATAGGAAAACTTACAATCCTAGTCAATTAAGATTGGAGTCAAGTGCACCTGCCCTGTGCAGGATTCGAACTCACAACCTCAGTGTTGACAGGCTAGTGATACAGTAGTTTGACTACTTAGACCACTCGGCCACCGAGGCCCCCTAATCAACAAGAAGAAGGGAAACCATTTGACACACATGGGACAAGAATCACACACAAGAAAAATCAATAGACACTTAAAACTATTTAAATAAATGTATTTATATTGACCTGCATTGGATGTAATTTTGTAATGATTGTTATATTCACCAAAATATAAAGTTGAAAAAGAACCCCATTGTGATAAAGCCATGCATAAAGTCAAAGAATAATGACCCCATTTTTTTTTCTAGAGTCAATTTTTTTTAATGTAAATAAAAAGCAAAAAAAGGGGGGTTTGGACCCATGAAACCCCACCCCCCTTGTGCCTGTACATGCCAGGCTGTATTACATATATATATATGCATGGGGTTGTGAGGACGTAATGAAGCTTGCACTACAATTATTTTTAAACTATAATAGTTGATAGTTGTAAACCTACCTTGCTACCAGAGAGGGGAAACGGAATTTCTAGTTAAAAACTAGATATGTTGGAATGATATGAATAGCCCTGCTTGAAAAAAAGCTTGAAGCCATTTTTAGGAGTGGAAAGTCCAAAGCCTCATATTTTAGCAAAAATCAGCAGAGCAGATCCAAACCTAAACTTGATCTGTAACTCATCATAGTAGACTCACATACTAATAATTAGTTCAATATGAGAAGGCGTTTTGAAAAACAATTCTGTATAACTGTTATTTACACAAAATTTTCAAAGTCCAAAGCCTGCAATTTCAGCAAAAATCAATGGAGCGGAACTAAACGTAAACTGGATCTGTAACTCATCATAGAAGACTCCCATACTAAAAATCAGCTCAATATGTGAAGACATTTAGAAAAACAATTCTGTTGAACTGTTATTTTCATAAAATTTTCAGTCCAAAGCCTGTTATTTCAGCAAAAATCAATGGAGCGTAACCAAACATAAACTTGATCTGTAACTCATCATAGTAAACTCACATTCTAAAAATTAGCTAAATATGTGAAGGCGTTTAGAAAAAAGTCTGTATAACTGTTCATTGCGGAATGAAGGAATGACGGATAAGGGTAAAACTATATGGCCCTGAAAACTTTGTTGCAGGGCCATAAAAAGTTGTAACTCAAGAGATTAAAGAACCTTTGTGAGCACGCTCACATACCCCATGCCCTCACATTGTCACAGGGCAAACAAAATCTCACCAGATTCTTAAGTTCAAAGACTAATAACTTTACAAAAGTCAGCTGAAAAAAAATTCTTGTGGATATGCACATCTACATATTATGTCCTTATTATCTACAAAGTTTCATAAACTTCTGTTGTGTGGTTTCAGAGGAGTTTGCGATCACAAACTGTTGCAGTAGTATATTTAGGCCAAAATTCTAAGTTCAAAGTGGTTCAACCTAAAAAAAAAAAAATTGAATCATTTTCCTGTCGATATGCACATCTACATAAATGTAGTATGTCATGTATGTCCTTATCATCTACAAAGTTTTATGAAATTCTGTTGTGAAGTGTCCGAGGAGTTGTGATGACAAACTGTTGCAGTAGTATATTTAGGCCAAAATTCTAAGTTCACAGGGGCATTATAAACTCCTAGAAAAAAATTTAATCAGGATTTCCTGATGTCATAATACGCACATCTACATAGTACATGTATATCCTATAAATAAAACTACAAAGTTTTATGAAATACTGTTGTGTGGGTTCAGAGGAGTTGCGATGACAAGAACAGGACTGACGGACAAACAGAATGATGCATGAACAGACAGACGGACAGGTCAAAAACTTTATACCCTACAGAACTTTGTTCAGATAAATGAAATACCGGGACCATGTGGACCCACAAAACAAAAAGGTCTGCATAGTATAGGGCTCAGCAGTTAAGATAAGCATGTGTATCACACCAAGGCACTGAGACAACTATCCTGCATAAGCAGAATAATCAGAATCTAAACAGACAAACACAAATAGTATGGAAAACAGAGTTGGTCTTTTGGAGAAAAATTGCCCATATACTTATGACAGATTCATTGTCGGAATAATGAGCTGTCCCATTAATGGGCTGTCCAAATAACTGGATGTCCGATTTAGGTGCTGTCAGAATAATACACCTTATCGCTATTTGTCCGCCATTACTGGATATCACACAGGTTCCCGTAAAATTTTGACGTCATAATACAAAATATCTGAAGCCACAATTGAAAAGTGATTGTTGTATGACGTCAATAGTTCAAGCGGGACAGATTCTCGGGTCAGCCGGGAATAGCGATAAGGTGTATGGGATGTGGTAATAATGGTTGTTGGACTAACAGGATGTCACCGTGCGAAACAACCCTGATTTATCCTTTTAGAGCACTTGTTTTCAACGGCTATTTTTTGTTGGTTTATATTCCTCAGTCTTTGTTTTTCTTTGTAATACAAGTTATTGTAGTGTGTTCTTTCGTTGTTTTTATTTTTGGCCATGGCATTTTGGACTTATAGTTTTCCCCTTGTCGGGCATTGGTATCTTCTCTCCTTTTTTACAACTATGTCATAAAGTTAAGTGCAGTGAAATACTTTGTAATTGAAGATATTTGTCTTTGGAATCTAATTCATGCAATGACATATGTCTTTAAACTAAAACATACAACAGTTTCCAATAATCAAGTTGTGTATCCTGACACGACAACCTTTCTATTTTGGTAATTAGTTTTACCATGGGAAGTTACTCCCCATCGTCTTAGACTGGGTTCTTTTCTTCTTTACCTACTGTTTACCGTTACTGCCGAAAAAGGACTAGGACCAGTAATGTTAACCGAAAAAATGATAAACTGTAAAAATGAAATATATAGTTTTTAAAAAGAGTATCATTGGTAATACGAGGCAGCTGTTACCTGTGAAGAGGACGTAGTCCGTAAAAATAATTCTTTTCATACTAAACGTTTTTGCAAAAAAAAATCTACAGAAAAATGTATTAAGTCATAAAAAAATAATTTTGTTTTCACTTAACAAATAATTTATGACATTGAAAAATATTTAAAAATCCAACTTTTGTTCATTTAGGCTGTTTAGTCTTTAGTCTTTAGAAGTGTCAACTTGACACTATAATCTCTCTGTACTTTCGGTCACTCTGGTAATTTTATGTCACTTTTGTATAAAACTCATTAGTACATTTGTATTTATGATGTGGCACTGCAGAGAAACATAAATAAATAAATAATTAAATAATTAATTAAAAAAAAAAAAAAAGAAGTGAATAGTTTTCTTATTTACATCTACATTAGCTGCGAAAACGTAGCTCTTAAGGTCCTTTTGATGATTTTGATTAAAAAAAAATTCAAAGGACAATAGAGCTATGTTTTCGCAGCTACATCTACGACATAGCTTCTGTCGTCACTCGAAAAGGGTACTTTGACGCATCTCTCAAGTATAAATTTAACTTTGACGTCCTCCAACATGACAAAAAACTTTCTATATAACATTTACTAACAATAGTTCCAAATTGTGCTCAAAATTTATGTACAGGTGCAGGTTAAAAACATCATCTATCTTTTGTTTGTGTTTATTAGCCACTACAGAGAAGCTTGGTGAGTTTGGTCTTGAATTCCTCACTGCTCTCAATCTCTAATTTATAATGATGAAGTATTAAATATATATATTGGATTAACACTATACATTTATTGAGAAAATATAATAATTGTTAATATTTTTATTGCTAGAATTGGTATGATGTTCAAGAATACAGCTGTCATTGCTCAAACAGTTTTTAGACAATCAGGCACCAGATCAATACACATTGCTGCTCCAGTTATATGTAAAGGTACCAGTATATATCACACGTAGAAATAAGAAGAGACCAAATGATGTAGAAGTTAACATGCATAAGGGTCCGGGTGGGGTTTACAGAATAGAGAATAATGGACATAGGTACATGTATATAACATACAGAATAATTGGCCCCCCAAAAATAGAATACAGAAAAATGAAGCAAAAGTATGAAAAATTGAGAAAAATGGTGAGCTAAGCTATATAGATTATAGAATTATTGTGGAAAAATAGAAAAAAATGACAGAAATGTTTTATAAAATACAGAAATGAGGACCCCTGCATCCAGACTCTTAAAATATGATTGTTGAAGAAAAATCATCCTGTTTTAATACTTACATTGTAAACTACAGTTTGTACATGTATTTGATGATCCAGTTAAAGGTCACTCAGGGAATAAGTTTTACAGGGGCCCAGTAGCCAATGTTACTGAAAATTTGGCTAGGCCCCTAACTTTTACAGAATAATCCAGTCAGTCAGGGGTACTACGTATACTTGTACAAGTAATCTTTATTTACTTGGAAGAAGTTAATAATAATATACCTATATAAGTAAATTATAATGTTTGAATAATCTCCCCTTAATTTTCCTCAAAATTTACTTGTATAAGTAGTTTTTTTTTACAATCCCGAAAAATTCTCAAGTTATGAGATGTAAAAACATGCCTTTAACAATTTTTCTCAGGTTAGCTCATAATTTTTGATTAGAGTTCAATGTTTCATCTCATTAATTCAACAAAGAAACTGATTGCACAAAATTAAAGATCTTAAGTATTTGCACAAGGCCTTCAAAAATTGCCCCTTGGGGGCTTGTAAATGAGCAGTGTTCTGAAGGTAACAGACAAATGAGATTTTCATTGTCCATGAAATTACACTTAAATGATAAGTAAAGACATCAGCAAAGGACAGACAATTAAAAATTCTATTAGAGCAAAGAAGTCCTAAGAAATTCAAGAAAAGAAGATAGGATGACTTTTTTACTTGTATAAGTAAAAATATCTGAATGTCTAAAGGACATAGCTAAGCCAAAAAATTATTTACCTATACAAGTAAATAAAATACACTTGTATAAGTATCCTACAAATTTACATATATAAGTATATTAATATTTACTTCTTCAAGTAAATAAAAATTACTTGTACAAGTAGTACCCTGACTGCCAGTAGGGTCAATACAAAATTTTCACATTTTGTCAGTTTGGCCCCTGAAATTTTAAAGCTTATTCCCTGTCACTATAGCTAGTTATACTGTTGAAAGATTTACAGTCATAGTGAAATGTGATTATTTCTGGTGTTGAATGGATCACAGGGAAAAAGAATACATGCAGATTATTGGAGGTGATAACACTTTGATTTTTTAACCTGTTCATAACTATTACCGTGATTACCATTTAAATTGTTCAAAGAGATATTTGCAAAAATCCCTCGCAAACTAGCATTCACTGTGAAAATTCCCCACCACATTGAATTCAGCATGTTCAGAAAAAGATCACTCTCTATGCTCAATTTTAACTGAAAATTCTGTGATTCTTTGTTAATCTTTCTGTAATTTTTTCATAGGTTCCATACAAACACAAACAAAAATCAGAATTTTGTCATTCTGAATTCATTTTAAAACATGTTTAACCCGACGCCTTTTTTGCACCTGTCCCAAGTTAGGAACCTCTGGCCTTTGTTAGTCTTGTATTTTTTTTTTTAAATTTAGTTTTATATGTTTCAGAGTTTAGTGTGACGTCCATTTTCACTATTTTTGTTTAGGGGCCAGCTGAAGCCCGCCTCAGGGTGCGGGATTTTCTCGCTGTGTTGAAGACCCATTGGTAGCTTTGGGCTGTTTTATGCTATTTGGTCGGGTTTTAGTCTTTTTGACACACTCCCCGTTTCCATTCTCAACTTTAGATCACAATCATCATGATCAACATGTTTCACTGTGAATCACTCAACACTAAGCATTTGCTTAGCAAAAGTGATTTTTAAGTTAATCATCTTGTATGTAGTACTAGACTGTATTGATCAATTGATTGTTGATGTTCAGTGGCAAATTTTTCATGCATGTTGAGTTAGATGTAGTGTACTGTACAATAGGAGACTATGATAAATATAACTTTTATGAATTTAACTTCTGCATGGACATGAGCTCTTGAAAGGAGTACTCGATCTTCAAAACTTATTTCTCCTATCATGACTATGTAACAAGGATTTTCATTGGCCCTTCATTTGTTTTGTTTCATGAATAAATTCTTTATTGAACCAGTGAATTAGCTAACTACATCCATGTTTTATTTCCTAAAAGTTTATCTATTTTTGTTGTAGAATGCCTGAAGAATTCTATTGGCTTTTCTAGAAAATGGAACCAACCAAAGCACCTAAAATTCTTAGGTTTTATAAGATATAGTTCTAGTCAGGTACCACCTGATGAAATTATAGAAAAACAAAGTTCAGGATCAGGTGTTCTACCAGAACAAACAGCCACACCCAGTCCTCCTACTTCTAGTCCAAGTGAAGCAGAAGATCCTAAATTGTTGAAAGAACAGAAAATAGTCAAAAGTATGTGATTTAAATAGATACAAGAATCTGATGTTCAGTAGTTGTCGTTTGTTGATGTGGTTCATAAGTGTTTCTCGTTTCTCGTTTTTTATATAGATTAGACCGTTGGTTTTCCCGTTTGAATGGTTTTACACTAGTAGTTTTTAGGGGCCCTTTATAGCTTACTGTTCGGTGTGAGCCAAGGCTCCTTGTTGAAGACCGTACTGTGACCTATAATGGTTCACTTTTATAAATTTTGACTTGGATGGAGAGTTGTCTCATTGGCACTCATACCACATCTTCTTATATCTACTAACAAGAGGTATTAGTGTATATAAGGATGAAATTGCTAATTAGATCTATCCATAATCAAACTAATTATATATATCAAAACCATAAGTTATAACCTTTATTTTGGAACAAATAAAGTTACCAAGCAGAAAAAACTGGACTACAATATAAAAATAAGGAGATAATGAGACAACTATCCATTGAAATTAAAATAAAGTGGATGTAAATATTATAGGCAACCGTACGGCCTTCAGCAATGAGATAAACCCATACCATATAGTCAGCTATATAATGGGCCCCAACATGAAAAATGTGAAACAATTTAATTGAGAAAACTAATGGGCTACTTTATAACAAAAGAATTTAAGAAAAACAAATATGACGAACATGAACCAAAGACAACCACTGAGCTTCAGGCTCCTGACTTGGGACAGACACATAAAGAATGTGGCGAGGTAAAGCATGTTTGTGAACTTTCAACCCTCCCCTTACATGGGATAGTGGTGTTACAGCATAACATAAGAACACACTGAAAAAATCAGTTGAAATCTGCTGAACTCAAAAGATTGGTACGAGACACAAGAACAACTAACATAAAAACAATAGACACAAAGCACTGACATAAGAGTACTCGCAGTTACTGAAAGCTAGTTCAAAGTCAATTACAACTAATGATTAATTCATGTTCTCCCATTCTAGTAGTTTGTTAATTTCTCTAGATCTGAGACACAAATAGGACAATATAATCTGGACAATTAAAACCAGAAATGTAATGTTCCAAACTTGTAGAAATTTTCAGTTATAGACACTTACATGTAGATTTTAGAATTACATCAAAAAAGAAAAAATCACAAATACAGGAGAATTCAAAACTGAATTAATTTTTGAATTTTACTATTTTATTTTTGTTAGCATCAATGCTTAATTTTATATTTTGCTGAAGATTAAAATTCTATTGATCATTCGAAAAGTATAATTGTATATCAGTTTTAACTGATTAGCCATACTTGCACCATACATGACAATGATGAATTACAGAAGCTATCTGTCATTTCACTTTATTTTAGTCAGGACGAAGAAACCATTTGACCATAAGTATGTAGAGAATATTTATATAGAACCTGGTCGGGCCATGGTGGAGTATCTCTTAGTATTAAGGTTTGTTTTAGTTAAGGAATGTATCTCCCTGAGACTCCCTCATGCATAGTTCTGATTCCTTGTAACGGTTTTGCTTTACTTTTGGTTCTTATTGGCATTGTCAGCTCTTCTACATATGTATTAGGTCCAGGGCTTCCAAAACGGTCGTATTTTCTGGACAAGTCCGATAGATTATATAAATGACTTGTTGTGCCAAGGCTGAAACGGACATTTTAATATAGTTCAGAAAAAAAATGAAGTTTATGCGATCTTTTTGACCTGACCTTTGTCCTTAAACAGCCACACATTTCCGATCATATAAGTGACATGATGAATAATTACTATCAAAACAAACTCTAATTAGTTCTCTGACAGCTGATTTTACCTGTTCAGGCGACAGGTAAACTATTTTGTACCGGACATTGATCGGTCTATTAAAAGTTATTTTCTTAAATGTCAGCGGTTTTCATATAATTAATTTAGTCAACAAGATTCAGATTACCAGAAAATGTATATAAATATGATTTGATGAAAATTTGATAAGGTAGTAATAAAGGTTTTAAGTGAAAATTGTCAGAACCACGTTGTTTGAACTAGTACACTCATGCGCATGTGGGCAGGTGTGAGATTAAGTTATGCATCTGAATTTTCAAAATTGTAAAAATATCATTGATACCTTTATCTAACATTCATTTTGAGTCTTTTCCTGTTGAAATAACGCAGAAAGAGCTACTTAAACTCAATCGTGCTTTGTAAACGTACACAGATTTTACGTATTCGTCTCTGGTCCGTGTTTTGCCATTGTCTCGTCAAATATTTTTGGAAGCCCTGATTAGGTGTTGGACTTTCTATTATTTTGGCCTCAAGCATCACTGAAGCGACATTAATTGTCAATATGTGCATCGGGTGAAATAAAATTGATACTGTTAATGTTAATATATTGTACTGCTCAAACCTTGGACAGTGGTGTAATAAAAAATTACAAAAACCAGTGATTACTTTATTAAAGTGTGACCTGCTCTCTGTACATATTAATATCTTGCAAAGTTACTCTAGTTGAAGGATGCATGTTTGGCAGTGTGGAACATATGAATATAGCAATATCTACATAGCCACACCTAGTTAAGTACATTCACTCAAAGGTACAAATTTATTGAACCGGATTTGACTATCCTATAACATGTATAAGTTATAATATTTCATGCATTTTCAGAACAAACATCCCAAAGAACATGAAGAAAAATAGCAAAGGTCAAATAGAGGCCAACACACAGTGCTTATAAATATACACAAGTTCATACAGTATGTTGAGCCATAAAGTACTTCCAAGTCTAAAAAATGTTTTAAAAAATCAGCCATAAACATGATAAATATCAAACTCTAAAAATGACAAAACTGGAAAATTTAAAAAATAATTGTTGATTGAATTACCAGTTTGCTTGTTTGTACTGTAAGGTTTGAATGACTTTGCTTCTTTATTTAGAGAGCTGAATGAGATTCCAAAGTACACACGACGTAGTCCATATGGTAGCGGTAAAAGTTTGACGGTTTATAAAAGGAAAGACATAGAAGAACTGTAAGTTACAAATTTCTTTGCAGCTTGGTTAGATTTTGACATTTCCATTGATCTTTTTCTCACAGAGTCAGCAAAACTTCTAGAAACTTTTTCTCGTCTTTTACCATATTTAGCATTATAAGGATTGAACACGTTGAAAACCAAAAGAATAAATTATGCTTTCATACTACTGTGGATTCAAACTGCTTAGAGTCTGAAAAGACCATATTTTGTGCTCCACCAGTAAGATCAAGCACAGATTTTACTTGACAAGACTCAACATAATCTTGACAGTACTTAACTGTACTTGACTTTGGTCTAGACTTTACTTAAAAAGTCTAACTGAGTACTTGATAATCTTGTTATAGTTTAAAAAATGTCTTGACAAATGCTCGACCAATGCTCCATCAGTCTCAAATCAATCTTGACCAGTCTTGACCAGTCTCAACTCAATCTTGACCAGTCTCGATCAGTCTTAACCTTTAAATTTAGTCTCGACTGGGAAGTGACATAACAGTGCAACATAAGTACAATTATTGACCCTCTTAATATTTTGTCAAAGTTTTAAATGAAAACCGTAACTGTTTCATGCTTTCTTCTTATCAGTGCAATAAAGAAATATGGAAGTCTGGAAAAATTGTCAAAAGAAAAAATACTAAGGATGGCACAGCTTCAAATGAGATACAGGAAATGTAAGTTAAATTCAGTTGATATTTAAAGAAATGTTGATGAATAACATAATTTATTTCAAGATCTGTAGAGCTGGCGAGATGACAGTATTCATCTGTTTATATGAATAAAAGAAAATGTGCAGTAAACCATTATGACAATGAGACAGCAACCCAACAGCGAATAAAATCAAAAGATTTCTAGAGGTTAACATATGGTCTTCAATGATAAACAATTGTCTATACAACATGATACAATATGTCAATCTCTATGAGTGAAAAAATGCTGATAAAGGATATTTTAATGCAATTCGTTTAGAACGATAATTTTTTGTTGGACATTGACAATTATTTTGAAGGGTTAAATTTCCACATTCTACCAGTCCGTAACAAAGGAAAAACCACCATTTTGAATTCTGATTTTTTTATTGGTATTTAATTTCTCTAAAAATAAATAAAAAAGTCACATTTGTGCCTCAAAATCTTCTTTCTGTCAATATTTAATCCATTCAAAAGCGTCGGAAAAGTGTAAATACGCCTAGTGTTTATGTTTGACATCCGGAGTATATCTATGACGTCACATTGTTTAGATGCCAAAGACGATGTAACAGATTGCAGACTTTTTCATTTATGGCATGTTGAAGCCAAAATATTTACTAAAATGGATTTTTTTTTTATATGGGCCTTTAGAATGGAGATAACTGTATTGGATTTTAAGCTTCGTATTCCTTGATTTTACTGACAGTCCCAAATATCCTTTTGTACCCACAAAATTCATAAAAATTGGCATCCCCCGAATAATAATGAATTCACAGTTCATGATATTCTCCAAAGTCAGCATATTTTGGATATATTGTCAAAGCATGATGATTTTGTACACTTTTTGGGCCTAAAATCTTTACAAAAACCTTGGCCTCGTACCGTCTAAAATGTTCTATTACGGTAAGGTCCCAGGGTTAATATTGTATTCCTAGCACAACAATGTTATATTGAACAGGGGTTGCAGCCAAATGTATCTCTGCAAAAAACTTATAAATAAAGCACAAACTACTGGTAGTTAAAAAAGTTTTAAACTCAATGGTATGAAAGAAGGTATGCAGAAAAATGAAAAAGACTACTAGTACTGTAAGCTAGCATATCAAAATCCAGCTCTTCTCAGTGTTAGTCAAGTTAAAAGTAGGGTTAATATTCATATCACATCAAATTATTCTCATCCTGATTTGCCACTAGACATTAAACACAAATTCACCATCATCATCATTGTGGTCATCTTCTTCATCATAATTATCAATGTCATCATCATCATTTTAATTTCATTGTAATGTATTCCATTTGTATATTTACAAAATAGTCTGACAACATTAAAATTATTCTTACTTTTTTAGTTCCATTTTCTGAAGCTTACTACAAAGATTACATTGACAAACATTACATCTACTATGATAAAAAACCTGAGCAGGTATGTATTGTTTCATATTCTGATATACAGTAAAACCAGTATACACCAATCTTCTATTTGATTTTACTACAATTTACTTTTTTTGTGCCAATAGACTATTTTCATATTACCGACTTTTGACTCTGGAGTTTATATTTTTTCAACAGATAACCTTCTCTTTGGTAGGACATCCTGGTACTCGGCTAAGTAAGAGCCATGTAAAGAATAAAAATCAAGCTTTCAATCGGTGCGATTTTGGGGGGAAATTATCTGTTTTATATTTTCTATACACAAAAAAATAATCAGAAAACTGTATACTTTCCTCCCAATTTGCAACGCTTATAGGTTTGATTTTACTTCTTTTGGTTGCTCTTACTTGACAGAGTACCAGGATGTCCTACCACAGATTAGGTAACCTGTCGAAAAATTATACAATCTGGATTCAAAAGTCGGTAATATGAAAATAGTCTATTGAACTTATTATTTTTATGGTGTCGTGGATTCATTATTATTCGTTGGATACCAATTGTCGTGGATTTCATGGTTATATTTTAAACCACAAATTTAAATTTTCAACAAAACACAAATTTTCTATTGGCTGTTATGCAGACTTTGGCAAAACCATGAAATCAAATATCCACAGAAATGCATTTTTCCCTTGATCCATAAAAATTGGTATCCATGGAAATAAATGAATCCACAGTATCTTATTTTTTCTGAAAAAAAATAATACATTGATTGATTGTTGGTGTTTAACGCCACTTTCAGCACTCGCAGCTATATCATGGTGCCAAATATTCATTGGTGAAGGAAACCAGAGTTCCCGGATAGAACTACAGACCTTCATCAAGAAAACTGACAATCCTTGTCAATTAAGATTGGAGTTAAAAGCACCTGCAAGATGCAGGGACATATTGTCACATGAATAAGAGGAAGATTCCTTATTGATTTTGAGGTCACTATATTCAAGGTCAAGGTTACATAAAAGTTGTGCTGAAAAGTTGTTTCTGAATGCTTTGGCCAATACAGCATACATAGGATTGCATCCATACTTGAATATACTATCATATATAATGAAGAGTAGAACCCTATTTATTTCCCAACATTAAGGTAAAAAATACAAAAAATAGACCTAAATTTGTGTAGGAAAGTTGTTTAATTCAAACACTACATTAGTATTGAGATTGCCACCTTACATGGAAATATGGTCACAAATAATAAGAAAAATATTCCTATTGATTGTTAAGTCACTAGGTCTAAGATCAAGGTCATAGTAACTAAAATAGATTTTTGTACTACAATATTATTTTCTGAAATCGTTACTGAAAGAGGAATTATATCTTTCAAGTAAACAGAAAGCTTTGCCCCTTGAGGGGTGTGGGGTAAGTGCTTACTAAAGAATTTCTAATTATATTAATAAATTTGAAAGAAAATTTTACATTCTTAAAAATCAGTTCAATTCTTCAATGTTGATAGACATTGCTAAGTTTTCATATTGATCCATAAAAGGTGTAAAAAGGCCATTTCAAATGATAGTTCATTTAAAATATAATGTCTGAAAGTAAAGCCTTATATTGTCTTACAAATTAATTCATTTTAGTTCTGCATATCCCTTGATGAAAGTTTTACAAAACAATTTTGTATTCGGTAGCATTAATGTTATTGTTTGTAATCTCCAAATCTAATGCATTCTGGGTATTTTCTCAACTTTGCTCTGTATTATTTGGTTTAGTTAAAATATCCCCCAAAAGAACGTTCAAGCAATTATGGTATAATAAAAATTCAATGAGATGTAATTACCAGTCAGGGGACTTACTTAAACGAGTGATTTTTCTAAATCACTGATTCAAGTAACATTATGTCCATAAAGGTTGGAAGTAAGAGTTGTCTTTCTTTAATAATCACCTATTTAAGTAGTACAAATTAATCACTAGACTAAGTGATTTAATTTTATCGTAGCTTTAAATATAGAATACTAATGATCCAGGGACTAATTATGTTGCTAAAATTATCAGAACCAACATCTGTGTTGATAGGATGACCGGGTCATGTCAGGTGATGACCTTGTACTAAATCTAGGATAATGACATAAAAATCACTTGTTTAAGTATCATACCTCAATTTCCTTCCGAAAAATCACTTCTTTAAGTATCATTATTTTAATAACCCCCACTAATTTCAACACCCCAGAACAGTGAAATTTTGATCGCGAACAGTAGAATTTTATTACATAATCTATAAGATGAAACCTTGAATTTTACAGGAAAAATACTCCCACTGCTGGGAAAAATCTGTTTAGAAAGTATCAGTTCATTATGTAAAGCCATCTTTATAGCATTTTTCAACTAAAATAGAATGTGCAGCTAAATGATTGCATCAAAGGCATAAACCTTGCTGCTTAAAAGAAGCAAATGTTCATTTTTTTCAATTTCACTAATGAACAGATATTATCTAAACCGATGCATTTAAAATTTTGGTAAAACTACAAAATCACAATTTGTGACAAAACTTCGAATTTGCTACTTAAATAAGTGATTTAAAAATCACTTATTTCAATAAGTCCCCTAACTGATTACCACTTTTATAATTTGTAAGAATCAAAAGATCAATTTAATTCACCAATAATTACATTACATGTATGTTTCACAATAATTCGTTAGTTTGATTGGCTAACGACAATTGCTGGTTATTCAAAAATTAACCTTCATATCAAAATGAAATGATACATTCGTGATGACACGTGCTTCTACAAAAAAGTGCACAGGTAAATAAAAGAAAAACTTGATAAAACTTGTCTTTATGGTCTTATTAGCATAAAAACGTAATTATAAGAAATGAATGCTTCTTTTTGTAATTTTATTGGGGTAAAGTGTTGATTGTGCACATATTTAAAGAAAGAAGCGCTTCCGAGCTTCATACAAAATGTGCTTCGGTCAACACTTTTACACCCCAATAAAATTACAAAAAGAAGCCTTCATTTCTTAAATACTGTGGATTCATTTATTTTCGTGGATACCTATTTTCGTGAATTGAGGAAAACTTGCATTTTCGTGGATATTTAATTTTGTGGTTTTGGCAAAGTCTCCATACATTACTTTAGAAAAATTGTAATTCGTTGAACATTTAAATTCGTGGTTCTATATCCACGAAATCCACGAAAATTGGTATCCAACGAATATTAATGAATCCACAGTACATGATTTGATTTGTCCTTTAAACTTATTGGAACCAAAGGAAAGAATATTGCTATGTTTTTTTCAGCAAGCAGAAGATCAAAAAGAAGGACACAATAAGTGGACGTGGACAGGCACCGGTCAAGTTGTTGTTTCCTCTATATGTGTGTAAGTTTATTTAAACAGTATAACTCGTGTGAACTTAAATCTTGTTTATTCTGAAATTGATTTTTTATGTCTCTCCTTTGACAAGCTCATTAAAATACAGATGCTGTTTCTACCGTTTGCTTACAAAGATCTGGCTATGCTCCTTTCTACTTTCTGTTTTTAAGACCTTTGAAAACCAATGACAACCTCTGAATTACAGGCTCCTGACTAAGGCAGGCACATAAAGAATATGGTGTGGTTAAACACTCAACCCTCCCCCTAACCTGGAACAATGGTGTACTAGTACAACACAAGAACATACTGTAAAAATCAGTTGGAAATGGCTTGACCCACCTAATCGGCAGTGATTAGGCACGAAGCCGAAAAAACAATAACATAAAGCCAAAAGATACTAACTACCGATTTAAGACGTACTACCTGTATATATATAAAATAGTCTTTAATTTTATGTGAATGATAGCTGTAGTTTTCTATTTCAGAAATTTTTTCAATGTGATAATTAAAGGCTTTGCCTGGGCTTTCACAGGGTCATACAGTATGTTTTCGGAAATGATTCATTCAGCTGCAGACACTCTAAATCAGGTGAGTTTGATTTAGACACTTAGTGGTTGTCAAGGAGTTTCTTTTTCACAGACAATCTTGTTCATGGGAGCATGTGTTGTAAAAAGACAGGAAGAAGATGTCAAAGAATAGAAGAAATACAGACAAAACATTGACTAAAAGAAACAGTTCAAACCAACAACAGTCTACAAATTACTATACAGAAAACAAAAAATTGGACAACTTGTGGGCTCTTGAATGGTGGGCAGTTTCTGCTTCACTAGTGGTACCCATAGTGTTAAGAAGAAAATAAAGAGATTCTATCACTGTTTCCTGCAAGATACAATATTAAATCACTCGGTATAGATTCAATTTTTCAAATTTTGATACCTACTCAATATGCAGTGGTAGAATTTGAATATAATGGTTTTTTTTATGATATTGTGACAAACTTATGTGTTCTCTTTTGATAGTCTGCTAAAAATTGTGTTCTCTTTTGATAGTCTGCTAAAAATTGTGTTCTCTTTTCATAGTCTGCTAAAAATTGTGTTCATTCCATGTGACATCATCAATTCATGTTTATTATGCCATCATAGCAGCACACCAAGACACAGCATGCAAATTTTAGGTCAAAATTGACTTTTAATCATTCAGAAACTAAAAACAAGCAAATCACATGCTGATCATGTTTCATACCTCATGCACAGCCTCCACCACTTGACTCTGACATGCTACCATATACATGACACAATGTGGGCAAGCAAGTAAAAAAAGTAAAGGATAGAACCTTTGTCTCTACAATTGAAAGTAAAACATTTTAGTAAGAAGTTTTGTAAGTGTAACTGATCTTCATATTTTTATGATACCCTTAAACTTGTGGTTTAATGTTTTTTTACAGATAATTCTTGGTATTGGACTGTACCAGTCATTTAAAAAGCCTGATTCTGATCATCCGTAAGTTTTGAAATTACCAATTAAGTTCCATGGGTTCAATTTTTCTTTATTAAATTGAGATACATGTATGGTTTTTTGCTCATTGTTGAAGGCCATACTGTACCTGCAGTTGTTTAAGTCCACATCATTATACCCCCGCTTTAAAAAAAGTGGGGGTATACTGTTTTACCTCTGTCTGTCTTCCGTCAGTCCATCCATCCGTCAGTCCATCCGTCAGTCTGTCTGTCCCATGAATATTTTCGTCGCATTTTTCTCAGGAACTACTTGACAAGGATTTCTGAAATTTAGTTTCAGGGTTTATATAAGTAAGTTACACCCTGTGATGCGTTTTCAGATTCATCACTCAACAACTTCCTGTTTACGGAACACTTGTATTATTTTACACATGATAGCCAAGTTGAAAATTTTCGTCACATTTTTCTCAGGAACTACTTGACAAGGATTTCTGAAATTTGGTTTCAGGGTTTATATAAGTCAGCTATACTGTGTGATGTGTTTTCAGATTTATCACTCAACAACTTCCTGTTTACCGAAATATTTCGGCGGGGATATCATCAGTGAGCAGTAGCTCACAGTTTTACTTGTTTGTTCTGTGATGGATGGTTATCTCATTAGCAATATCATACCCCATGTTCTCATTTAAACTGTTCCAGTAATTAGTAAGCTATTACAGAAAAATAATTAGAACTCTTTTCTTTATATCTGCTATGATATTTAGCCTGCAACATTTTGTCATGGAAGTGAGACATATAGATTCCACCACTGCAACAAGTGTGTTCAGATATTTCTCCACTTGAGACATTTAAATTTTAATATATTAAGCGCGACGCTTGCCGAGCTTTTTAAATAATTAAAATTTAACTGTTGAGAGTGGAGAAATATCGTAATACACGAGTTATAGTGGTGGAATCTGTTTCTCTATTAATTTTTATCCTTCCTTTTCAAAGATTTGCAGGACGTTGTGTTCTTTATATGTAATGTCATCAGGCATAGTTGCCTTTTTTAATGACATCACAATAGGAAATTCAGAAGAAACCAAGAAAATTTGACGTCAAATTTAAATTTCGACCAATCATTTGCCAAGAACAGTAGTTTCACTAGTGTGGAGAAAAATTTTTTCACAATCAGTTGGGAAATGTGAAAATAGTGAAAAAATTAGAGAAAAAGTGATCCTACATTGCATCAGCATTGTCAATGTTTAGGTTCAGTCTGCGGTTTAGGTATTTTAGACATTAAACTTTGTCAAACCTTCTTGGAATTTTAGGAAACTTGGACAGAAGCTTTTAAATGATCAAAAGATCAGATCTCCATTGTTTTTGCAGTTAACATTACACTTTTACACTGGTTGCAAAATCACATACTAGACCCAGGGTTCCATGGAATTCTTTACACACTTACATTTTCCTAATTACAGTCTGCATTCAACATGTTCAATTTTATATAATGTAACCAACAATCTTCAGGATAATTAATTTGAGTTCCATCAAAATATTCTTATTTCCACTACTTATATGTATTTAAAAAAAAAATGCAAACTTCTTTGATAATACTCACTGATTTTTATTGCTATATTTCAAAGGATATGGTCATTCAAAAATAAATTTCACCAGTTTTATCACATGTTCTTTTGTAGATATGGGTATTCTAACCTCCGACATGTGTCCTCTCTGATCAGTGGAGTAGGAATTTTCTGTATAGGTACTGGTTTTTCTGTTTATCATGGTATCCAAGGACTTCTCCACCCAGAAGAAATGGGATTAAATATATGGGTTAGTATAGAATGACATAGATTTTTCTCGAAATCTGTTGTATAGTTGTAAAAATAAGAAGATGTGGTATGATTGCCAATTCAATGAGACAGTACAACTCTCCACAAGAGACCAAATGACACAGAAATTAACAACTAAATGTCACCTGCCTTCAACCATGTGTAAAACCCATACTGCATAGTCAGTTTTAAAAGGCCCCGAAATGACAAATGTAAAACAATTCAAATGAGAAATCTAACGGCCAGATTTATGTACAAAATAATCAACGAAAACAAATATGATATACAGCAACAAACGTCAACCACTGTAATACAGGCTCCTGACTTTGGACAGGCACATACAGAATGTGGCGGGGTTAAACTAGTTTGAAGGCATTTCCCAAAGCTTGTATTGATAGGTCAAATAATAGCTATACCCCATTGCTGTCTGTGCTTTTCTCAGAAGGGGAAATGCCCCCATGAACTCATCGATCTGAACTAATAGACACTGTTTATACTACAGATTTATAGGGGGATTTTGTAATTCATACCTGCTCACCATGGGTTACCACTCCTGCTTACTCCAAGAAATTTGTTTGATAAGGCTCAATATAAACATAAATATAAATATATATAGATAACGACCACGTGCAATTGGATTTTTTCTAGGTCTGTTTGATTTCATACTGTAGGTTAAAAAGTTTGTTTATCATCATTTTTTACTGTATAAGAATGATTTGATTGTGGTCAAATCAGTCAACCAAATGGTTCATCCTTGTTTCACTTTCAGTGTTTACATTCTTTTCCTTTTAATAGCTGACCATCTCACAGGTCACATGAATACAGATTCAATGAAGTCGAATTATTAATAATTCATCAGCAATGTTTCTTAGCTTATTTTGACAAAATTGAACCAAATTAGCTGCTAAAAGCGAATTATTATTTCACTTTTTCACTTTCTTTTGACGATTGAACAAAAAAAATATTATATTTATTTTTTTGTATATCTCGTAGCTAATGCCCTTTAATGCCCCTACTCCTAATCCTAAGATTTTGTCCAAATAATTAATGCTTATACTTAGCTCATTCTTCCAAGGTATTGTATGTTCAATTCTTATGGTTAAAGAAAGGAAAAATAGAATCTGCTCCCTAAGGTGGACACATGGGACCTTCTATAACTTTTTTCTCAATGTGCCTTCTCATCATGCTCATACCTTGGATGTTTTTGAAATGACAAAATTAAGATTTGATACATCATTTTCATGATTTTACCATTTTTAGCTCACCTAGTGATCTTTCCTCATCACTTGGCTTCAGTCATCCGTCATCGTCGTCCATCATCATCATTCTCCTCTGAAACTACTTGGACAAATTTAACCAGTTTAAAAATTGTGTCTAATGACCCCACCTGCCAACCAAGATGGCTGACATGGCTAAAAAAAGAACATAGGGGTAAAATGCAAGTTTTGTCTATTATTTTGAAAACCTTTATAAATAGACAAAATCTGACCGGAGCAGAAATGTTCAGAATGTTGAGCTCTACCAATTGTTCAAATACATGAAAATTGTCAGACGACTACTTACAGGAGTAATTGCTATTAAATGACAAATTTTATCATTTTATTTCATTTTTAACCGGATTTTCGAAGGAAAAATCGGTTATTGATTTGGGGATGTACGTTTGACAGGCAGGTGGGTGGGCAGGTTTCGTCTGCCAAACAGTGTCCGTTCATTAACATAAAAACGCTTTAAAAATTTAGATATGTTGTTTCCTGTGACTAAATAAAGGTCAAGTTCAATTTTCACGATTTTAGCTTTTCTCGTTGTTGAGTTGTAGACCTTTCAGTAGCCAAAAGTGATATTTATTATATGATTGAGTTATTTTTCTTTGATCAGAAATGGTGTAATTAATAAGTTTATGTATAGATAGTCTATCAATGATTGTATCTGTTCAATTGATTTTAGTCAGGAGCCGTCAAAAATTTCTTTATAACTATTTTTTTAAGTCATGTGTGTTTTAAAGGTTGATGTCAAAGTTGTTATGTGGTATTTTATATTTGTTGTGTGTGTTTATGTTTAATTTCTACTTGATCCTGTTTGGGGGGTCCAGATTTGCAAATATGATTTTCATTAGATAATAATATAGTTTTATTAAAGGATAAATTTCATTACATTACATTGTGTAGATAAAGTTATTGACATTGATAGATAAGTTACAGATCTATATTAGTTTGTGACAAATGAAAGAAAAATATTGGGAACTATTAATTATATATATAAAGTTTGATTACACTAAATGTTTTTAAATGATTTTCACCTGTTATCCAGATAAGAAAGCATGTGGTTAATATCAATCACACAATTATAATTGAAGTGGCAGATTTATTTGAAAATTTTCTGTTTCCTAAGTGTTGATGATGATAAGCTCTGTAGGACAGTATAGATATAGTTTGAAATTTACTGTTCATTATTAGACGTTTTGAAGATAATTTCAGATAAGTTTTATAGATTTTTAATTGCCTATTATCTTGAAAACTATAATAGAGAGAAATTTTAAATTGCAAAATTACCAGCAAGGCAAGTTCTACAAATAAGTCTGCATTGTCGAATTTGTAGGTCGACTCCTTATTAGACTTATTGCTCTTTGATGATGATTTTTACTAATTTTTTGCGTTTTTAAAATAGCCTTATATCTTAAAAATTATAATAGATAGATAGAAACTTAAATAAGCAAAAATGATCAGCAAGACAAGATCTACGATTAAAACTATATGGAGGAATTGTCCGACAACTCCTTAATGAAATTATTGCTCTGTAATGACAATTTTTACCATTTTTAGGCAGTTAAGCTGCCTTATGCGAGCACCCTAGATTTGTGTTCTACCCAATAAATACCATTGTTATTATCTAGCTGGCTATTATGTTATTTATAACTAATTGGATATTTTTTTAATACATTTTGTACTTTTATTTCTGGAATACAAAAAGTATGACCAGAAAAACCTTAAATGATCGTCGAACTACCCAAAACTTTTGAAGTTGCACATAGGAAGTAGAGCTCAATAGAAATCCGTACGTAGTTTATTATCCCCTGTGCTTTTGGCTACGATGTCAAAGAACAATTGTATGAAATATTTCATCGCCGAAAATCGGTAATTACAAGTCGTTTATATTTCCCAAATGGCAAAATGTGCAGGAATATTGTTCATGTACAACAAATCTCTTTGATAGAGGAAATAAAGTTATATAAGTGGGCGGTAATTTTTAACTTATCTTGCCAAATAAGGTTGTTGTTATTTTATGAATGAAATCGACATTGATGGGATGTTTTAAGTAATGTGGACAACTCGTCCCCGTGACAAGTAGGACCGAATCCACTCAAACCGTCTAAGAAGACAACTTTGACCGTTTGTCAGATTTACTTAGGGTTTCATAAAATATTAGACTAACATGTCTAGCGGAGCCATTAATCTTATGTTTGTGCATTGGGGTCTATTTAGGGGTATTTGGAGGGGCCTGAAGTAGGGAGGGGTTTACTATAGAACCCTATGGGATTTTATTTTTTTTAATTTTCAAATGACTATTTCTAGAAAACAGTAAGTGATAGACACATGCAGTCTTCAGTAATGAGAACAGGACAATAAAAAGAGCAACCAAAATATAGGGTGAGTCCCTAGGGGTCATCCCAACCCCCTTCAATTTGAAAATGTACTTTTATCTTGTAAACCGTCACGATCCCCACCCCTAAACCATATATATACTTGTATGGGAAAATAAAAGAAATCAAATGAAAATAATTTGGGGGAGTCCCCAGTGTTGTCCCACCCTCCTGTTTGAGAACTTGAAAATGGTCGAGATCCCCACCCCTAAACCATATATATTCATTATGAGACAATAAAACAAATCAAATGAAATATAGGGGGAGTCCCTAGGGTCACCCCACCCCCTCCTGTTTGAGAACTTGTAAATGGTCAAGATCCCCACCCCTAAACCATATATATTCATGTATGGGACAATATAACAAATCAAATGAAATATATGGGGAGTCCCTGGGGTCACCCCAACCCCTCCTGTTTGAGAACTTGGAAATGGTTGAGATCCTCACCCCTAAACCATATACATTCATGTATTGAACAATATAACAAATCAAATGAAATATATGGGGAGTTCCTTGGGTCACCCCACCCCCTCCTGTTTGAGAACTTGGAAATGGTCGAGATCCCCACCCCTAAACCATATACATTCATGTATGGGACAATAAAACAAATCAAATGAAATATAGTGGGAGTCCCTGGGGACACCCCACCCCCTCCTGTTTGAGAGTTTGTAAACAGTCAAGATCCCCACCCTTAAACCATATATATTCATGTTTGGGACAATATAACAAATCAAATGAAATATATGGGGAGTTCTTGGGTCACCCCACCCCCTCCTGTTTGAGAACTTGGAAATGGTCGAGATCCCCACCCCTAAATCATATATATTCATGTATGGGACGTTAAAACAAATCAAATGAAATATAGTGGGAGTCCATGGGGACACCCCACCCCCTCCTGTTTGAGAACTTGTAAACAGTCAAGATCCCCACCCCTAAACCATATATATTCATGTATGGGACAATATGACAAATCAAATGAAATATTTGGGGAGTCCCTGGGGTCACCCCACACACTCCTGTTTGAGAACTTGGAAATGGTCGAGATCCCCACCCCTAAACCATATGTATTCATGTATGGGACAATATAACAAATCAAATGAAATATAGGGGGAGTCCCTGGGGTCACCCCACCCTCTCCTGTTTGAGAACTTGTAAACGGTCGAGATACCCACACCTAAACCATATTTATTTCTGTTCATTATTTCAAAAAGATTTGAATGACATACAGGGTCAATCTCCTAGGTGTCACATATGCATATCACTTTACTAGACCAAACCAATATGAACTGGACTTTGCCCAATGTCAGGAGACCATGGGAATGACGAATTATGGGGGCTTTGTTTGGGAGACTTCGTAACGGCATCCTGTTACAATTATTTCTTGTTTATTATAAAATTTTAGTGATGCAAAAAATGAGTCTAGGTTAATTGAATTTACTTTAATTATTTATTAAATTATTTCTGGGCCTTTAATAATTTTCATTTATGGCTCATTTTAAAGAAAACATATAAATTTTTCAAGCAGTGTAAAGCCCGAAAATGTTTGACCAACTGTTTTATAATCACCTATCATTTTATTCCAAACTTGGTATGGAGTAACATCATGCACTTGGGGGTGAAGATGGGGGTCATTTACATTGATATATGAGTTGCTTTTGAAAACCTTGATGAAATATTAATTAATTTGCCTTAATAATCAATTCATTTAATGAACATAAATGTACAATATACGAATGTTTAATGTTTGTTCTTTCAAATCTTAAAAAAAAATTGAAGCAACACTGCCACAGTTTTCCTAATTACATTTGCATTGGTTTTTGGTTAACTGCCTACAGCGCTTACAGTGCTTTTTTATGTTTTGCCTCATATGATAAAAATTATAATAGATAAGTAGACACTTTAAATCACAATAATGATCAGCAAGGCAAGATCTACTAACAAATCAAATTGTGTCAATATAGTGAGTAGACTGTCACTCTTTATATAGGAGTGATTGCCCTTAAATAAGGATTTGTTTTACCCTCTTTTGTGTTTTGAGCAAAAACTAAAGAAGATAGAGAGAAACTAAACAGACTAAATAATCAGCAGTACAAGATCAACAAAACAGAGATTTTTGTTATGAAATTTATTCTTGTCTACAATGTTGGTCTTTTTTGAATATGCACATAGACCAAGGTAAGCGACACAGGCTCTTAAGAGCCTTTAGTTATGAATTCACTGTCATTTTATGGCTGCATAACCCATGTAAGGTATTGTTTTAAACTGAAACTGTTATGTTTTTATTAAGTTCATAAATTAAAAATTTTATGCTGCATATATAAGAGACACTCTGCAATAAATTTTATTTTAGGGTCGATTTGGTCCGACTTGTAATTTCTCCTTTCTTGATTATTACCTATATTTTTTTTCAAAAATTTGCCCGCAATCTATTTATTGTTGAATAGGAAACTTCAAATCAGGGAATAAAACTTTTAAAAAATAAAATATAACCTCCATGTACTGTAATTTAAATGATTCCTCCTCCAATAGAATCAATATATAAATGAAATATTTAAGGTGGTACTGGTTCAACACTACAGGGAGATAACTCTGTAAAAATCAGCTGAATGTTTTAATCATGTTCTATTGTTATGGTAATATTAAGCTTCTCAAGGATCAAAATAAGTGTTTGTCAAACTGCTATATATCCTAGGAAATTTTTCTTTAAAGTGTGTGGTTCAAGTTTTTGGAAATTTTTTAATTTTTGTCAAAGGGTTAAAGTAAATATTTCGTCAAAATTTTATGCAAATTAATTTTAGTCAAAGTGTTTGGTACCACCTTAATAATATATATTTATTTTCAGGCACTTGGTACTCTAGTTGGTAGTTTGGTATCAGAAGGAGGTAGGTAAATCACTGTATTGTGGATTTAGTTATTTTTGTAGATACTAATATTTGTAGTATTGAGGAAAAAATGAATTTTTGTCGATATTATATTTCGTGGTTTTGTCAGAAACATGGAACTACATAATGTACATGATTTTAAGTCCTTGTCCTGATTGTGCTATTGTGATCGTAAAAATAGCACAAATAAAACCTAATCTGAATTTTTGAAAATTTACATTAGGAAATTTGTTGGTTCCTGATATTTAACTTTTCCAAGGGAACAATCATGAACACTGATGATGGTAAGCAAAAAAGATTAGAATCATGTTTTGATGTTTTGAATTTAGCTTTGTTTTCCTCAGCACTCAAATTATTTGGGGGAATGGCACTCAAATGATGGGGATGGGGGAGGGGGATGGAAGGCACTCAAATGATGGGGATGGGGGAGGGGAATGGAAGGCACTCAAATGATGGGGATGGGGGAGGGGGATGGAAGGCACTCAAATGATTTTGGTTGGGATTGAAAGCACTTAGATTTATTAGATATGAGTGGTTGCATTTTCCTTAGAATTTCGTAAGAATGAAAACTTTTATTGCATGGTTGGTTGGGGTCTTCAAAAAGTGCCTCCTATCCCCCATCATGCATTTAATTCTGGAACACACGTAATGGGAATATTGTAAATAGTAGAAGCAAATATATTTAATACTATCACACAATGCTTATCTGATAATAGTTTTATAATTTATTTTCAGCTACACTGTATTTAGCTGCTTCTCAAACACGGAAGAGTGCTAAAAAAGAAGGAATAAAGTTTTGGAAGTATGGTAATTATGCAATTAAAAACATTTTTTCACAGAATTTATAGATCTGAAAATTTGACTAGTTCACCATGTTCACTCACAACAAACATTTCTGTAAAATTTTTAATAAATTGGCACTCAACGAAGCACTTATTCGTAGAATAGCTTGTAAACAATCTAGTAAAGGAGTCATACAAGTGAGAGGTTTAGGGTTTAGCTAGCTATGAAACCAGGTTTAATCCACCATTTTCTACATAAGGAAATACCTGTACCAAGTCAGAAATATGACAGTTGTTTTCCATTCGTTTGATGTGTTTGAGCTTTTGATTTTGCCATATTTTGAATTTTCCTTATAGTTCGGTATTTTTATAATTTTAATTTTTTCCAAACTATCCAAATCATTTAGGATCCAGTGGGTGTTGTTGGTTGCTGTCTGCCATATTTGTTTCTTGTTTATTATTTTTAGCACAAACCAGCTCATTGGTTTTCTCATTTGAAATGTTTCACATTTTGTCATGTATTGGCCTTGTATAGATTACTTTAATGTTTCACATTTTGTCATGTATTGGCCTTGTATAGATTACTGTAGGGTATGGGCTACAAATCTATTTTATTGTTTGTTTGGCCTTCAACAACTTCTTTTCTTATTTCACAACCCACCCCCTTTCTTCCCCACACACACAAAAAAAGGGGGGGTGTTATGACTATTATATTATGTGTCTATAATGAGAGAGAGAAAATGTTGATTTTGACATCAACACATAGGACAGTGCATAACTTGTTGAAAAGGACACAGATTGGAGACCAGAGGGAGAAAGATTTGTGACGTCTATGACACAATATCAAATAGGACACAGATCTGAGGAAATCTTTGGCCTGGTTTATGCTAAAAATAATAAACAAGAAACAACAGATTTGTGGCTGGACATAGATTTGAGGCTATCGTATACCAGTATTTAAAAACATTGATTAAACTTTTCGTTATGAATTTCAGTTTGGCGTGGATATGATCCTAATACAACAGTAGTGTTGTTAGAAGACTTAGCAGCAGTTTCAGGTGTCATAATTGCATCAGGTTGTATTGGTTTAACATGGTATACTGGTAACCCACTCTATGATTCTGTGGGATCAATAGTAATAGGAGGATTATTGGCAGGAGTAGCAGGTGTTATTATCAAAACAAACTCAGCAGCATTATTGATAAGGTGAGAACTGGTGTTATTGTTGTTTTTTTAACCAAACCATCTCAGTGGTCTTGTTGTAGTGTGCTCACCTCATGTTCTTGAGGTCCTGAGTTAGAACCCTGGTCAGGTCAAACTAAAGACTTGAAAAGTGGTATTTGCTGCTTCTTTGCTAAGCATGCACCAAAAGAGTAAGATTAAAGAAAGAATGGCTCATAGTCAGAATAATGTGTCCAACAGAGTAAGATGACATGCCTTCCTGTGGACTGGTACCTTGTGAACAATCAAGTAAGATTTATTCCCCAAACATTTAGTTATTGGATGTTGCTAACATTATATATATAAGAGAAAATTCATGTTGTTTTACGTGTTGTTCCGGTTGCTCAATCGATTTTGTCAATATAATGAACTATAAACAACTGTCAATCAAGTGGAAGGTTTAGCTAGCTATAAAACTAGGTTTAACCTACCATTTTCTTTTCAAAAAATGCCTGTCTACTTGTTGCATTGGTTAATAACGTTTGATTTTTTCAGTTTTTATGGACTTCCACTTTTGGAATTTACTTTGATTTTTTGCATTTTTATGCCCCACCTACGATGGTAGAGGGGCATAATGTTTTTCTGTCTGTGCGTCCGTTTCTTCGTCGGTGCGTCCATTCGTCCCTCAGTCCCGCTTCAGGTTAAAGTTTTTTGTCAAGGTAGTTTTTGATGAAGTTGAAGTCCAATCAACTTGAAACTTTGTACACATGTTCCCTATGATATAATCTTTCTAATTTTAATGCCAAATTAGAGTTTTGACCCCAATTTTACGGTCTACTGAACATAGAAATGATAGTGAGAGTGGGGCATCTGTGTACTATGGACACATTGTTGTTGCTATATTTTTTTACAGGTAAATAGATGGAAATTCTAAAAAGCAAACTAACAAAAATACCGAACTCCGTTGGAAATTCAAAACAGAACGAATAACAAATCGAAAACAACTTTCATATTTCTGACTTGGTACAGGCATTTCCTTATGTAGAAAATGGTGGATTAAACACGGTTTTATAGCTAGCTAAACCTCCCACTTGTATGACAGTCGCATTGAATTCATTTATATTGACAACAATGTGTGAGCAAAAAAAACAGACATAATAGGTAAAATCATAAAAAATTGGGGTACAGCAGTCAACATTGTAATATAATCTTAATCACTATAAAAACAAATAACTGTTTCAACAAAGAAACACAAAATGGCATATAGACAAATTACATAAGGATAAATGAAAGACAAGAGTTCAAAATTGACCATAGCGCAATAAGACAATGGCGGGATGTATAAGTACTGAGCCAAATCAATTTATAATATTAATTTTAGGCAATGGAACAACTATGCAAAGAGGGAACTTTTCCTCAGCATTATGCAACATATGAATATTAAATCATTTATGGAACTAATGTTTAGAAAAATTCCATTGTATGTAGACAATTGCTGTGCAAACTTTAGGAGAATACCTGCCTAGAAGGCAGGTAACTCTTACAGAACTGACACTAAGAAACATTATACAATTACTGTAAATTCAGAAATTATTGCGATGTTTTTATTATTGCGAAAAATGCGACAGGGTTATAATCGCAATAATTTGAACTCGCATTTTGAAATTTTTCATATGAATTAAACAGGATTTTTCTCAATATCGCAAAAATTAAAATCGTATTTTAGTCTAAAATGACAAAATCGCAATAATAAATGCACGCAATAATTTCTGAATTTACAGTACTCTTCTTTTTAAAACAGTATTTATTTTTCTTTTTTTTCTTAGATCTATACCATTGGAAAAGAAAGATGAGATTAGTAAAGATCTGGAACAGGACAGAATGATAAGGTAGCATTTAGATCAGTATTTTTTTTAAATTTCTTGGCATAAAACAAAACTGGTATTAATGTTTTGGGATCATAATCCAACTAGTCTTGGCGTACGAGCAAAACTGTTTAGATATAATTTTTTCACTAGTTTTGAAGGATGTACAAGGTATCATATTTTTTATACCCTGCTTTAAAAAAGTGGGGGTATACTGTTTTACCTGTGTCTGTCTTTCCATCTGTCCATCTGTCAGTCCGTCCATCTGTCTCATGAATATTTTTCATCACATCTTTCTAAGGAACTACATCATAAGGATTTCTGAAATTTGGTTTCAGGGTTTATATAAGTCAGCTATACCATTTGATGCGTTTTCAGATTGATCTCGCAACAACTTCCTGTTTACCGAAATATTTGGGAGGGGGTATCATCCGTGAGTAGTAGATCTCAGTTTCACTTGTTTGTTTCTATATTCCTGATTTAATTCCTATTGTGCTGATCCTAAGATACATCTCTAAGGGGTCCACTTTGATACAGTCCCAAAATTTCAATATTTTTAGCTCTTTTTTTAGTCAATGTCAATTTTGTCATTAATTGGCTTATAACTTCTGTTGTCTGTCTGTTAATGTTAGAAGGACATTTTCTCAAAGTGTTGATACTGTGGTGAAGATTTTTTGAAAACATGGAAGGCATGACCTTTACGGATTGGTTTAATTTAGGAAAAACTTATTCTCAACAACTGCTTAATCAATTGAAATCAAACATGACAGATATGTGTTCCTGTGAAGGTCTTTAAGGTGGTACATAACACTTCAGGGAGATAACTCTGTAAAAATCAGGTAAATGTTTTAATCACGTTTTATTGTTTAGTAAATTTTAAGCTTCTCAATGATCAAAATTAGTGTTTGTCAAACTGCTATATATCCAATGAAATTTTTCCGATAAAGTGTGTGGTTCAAGTTTTTTGAAATTTTTATATTTTTGTCAAAGGGTCAAAGAAAATATTTTGTCAAAATTTTATGAAAATTAAACAAGCCAAATTAATTTTAGTCAAGGTGTTTGGTACCACCTAAACAGGAGCAGTAACTGTTGTGCTGATCAGAAATCCAAAATGGCTGCCAGCAGAGGTCAAAGATGAATTTCTTTTTTTATAATTCCAAAATTGAATATGTAATTCTATATAATTCAGTATTACAATGGACAAAAAGATCTAAAGCTTGCAGAAAAAAAAAATACAGTTCTATAAAGTTCAGAAAATTACTGATCTTTAGTATTGAAAGTGCAGACTTTCTTTAGAAATTAAATGAAAGATGAAATTTTGTTATTTAAGATCTTTACATGATGTAAAAGCCACAGAGATGGGTGGTCAGTGGAAGTTCAAGGCTGAAGTTGATTTTGATGGCAGGGAAATAGCCAGAGCATACCTGTATAAATTGGATATGGAACAGTTGTTGAAAGTAAGAACAATGTAAAATCAGCTTTTGGAATCTGGTTTATTTAAGGAGTATGATATATACATGTATGCTTTGTGAGAACATACCACATTTATTTAGAGAGACCGAAGCTTTTGTCATAGATTTCACTCAACTACATGTCAGGGATGGGGTAATTGAAAATGTAATGGTAATTAAGTGTAATGCATTACAATTTTCCATGTAATTAAATGTAATGTGTAATTGAGGATTTTTTAAATTACATGTAATGGTAATTTAATTAATTACATTGAAAAAAGCATGTAATGCTAAATTACATTCCAATTACATTTCAATTACATTATGTACATGTACTATTTTGGTGTTTAGACTATACATGTATTAACCAAAAATGTAAGTGGAATGAAATTCATATGTGGTGAAAATGGCTTATTCAAATATAGCCAGTCTTTTACATTTTTTTTTTATTTTGAGTACATGTATCATATCCATTTCATTGGAGATATGCATTTTGTAATTAAATTGATACATTCAAAATATAATAAATTTCTAAATTTAATCAAGAAGCTCATAGCAATAAAGCCATTGCAATAAAGCAAACATCAATCATCAAAAATGGAGAATTTGTTATTTGTCAAAATTGAAAATGACTAAGTGCAAAAATCAATTCAAAGAAAAAGTACAGGAACTCTTTGCACTTGAAAATAACAAAACAAAGTAACAGTGCTTTTATTGCTGTTCTTGATATAAACGTCACAATGAGGCCTTATGTTTGTTTCAGGAGATGCAGGACTTGCAGACGTCGACAGATGCAGAGGAATTCATGTTGAAACATGGACAACAGTTAATTGATTCCCTTGGTGAAGAAATCGATAGAATTGAAAAATTATTGAAGGTATTCTTACATTACATTTCATGGTTGAGTTGCCATATCCACTCAACCTTCTGTCCACTGGCTAAGTTGGGTAGAGTGGACTTGATGATGGTGCTCAGATGTTCACCCCATTAAGTGGAAATGTTTTTTCTTTTCTTTCATCATAAGACATGCACTAACCAAATTCAGGCGTGTATAGTCTGTGGTTTTATTCTCCAAAATTAAAGCTGCCAGGCAGGGGTGCAGATTATAGAGTACGATAAGCAAGAAATAAGAGAAAAACTCGATTTCGCGAGGTTTGTTTACGTTCTGCCATGTTTGTTATTGAAATTGTAGAGGGCGCACTTAACATTTTCAAAACTAATATTTCACCTAACCAATATTAATGTGCAGTTTTGATTCAAAATCCATTATAAAGTGTTAAATTTTAAAATTAAATGCTTCATTACAAATTTCTTCTTTCTTTTCACAGCATTGCATAGCATAAACTGAAAACCACTTGTATTTAATGGAATTAAAAAAGTGTATAAGTCAGCTGGGAACCAGCTTATGTATTATGATGTATAAACTACAAAACGTAATCTGTTATTTGTTTCGTTTTGGTGATTCATACTGACACATGTGATTTGTTTTAGCTTGAGATCCTTCAAACATTAATATGATGGATATGTTTAACAGTATTTTACTAAAGGATGGAACTGTTTTACTTTCAAAGTCGTATTCAAATGTTATCTATTAAGTACAGATTTAGAAATAAAAAAGGATGACTAAATAAGAGAAAAGTAATTAAAGAAAACATCTACTTCAACTGCGTTGGTTTTATTTATCAATAGAAAAGAAAGGATATGGGGCATCCATCCATGACAAAAAATCAATACATTCACAGCAAAAAACACATTAAGAAAAGAAACAGCACTTTTATTGCTGTTTACTTGTACTTACACCAGGCATGGGGTAATGCAAATTTGTAATTGTAATGCATGGTAATGCATTACATTTTTCCAAGTAATTGCATGTAATGTGTAATGCAGCAATTTGTGCATTACATGTAATTGTAATATAATGCATTACTTTAGCAAAAAGTTTTGTAATTTCATGCATTACATGGCATTACATGTCATTACTTTTTTCACATACTACATCTTTAACATATTGTTGGAGTTTTAACTAAACCAAATTTAAGATTTCTTGATTAACTAAGAATAGGTTAATCATTAGAATATATTCTTTATTTCATCTTATTTCATACATTTTCCTGCATTAAAAGATTGCTATTTGAAAAGCATAGCTGTATTGTTGTCATAAGATCAAAGAATATCTTTGTTTTGCTTAAATAAAAGATAATTAAACTTTGTTATAAAACACTAATTAGTTTGTTTAACAATCAATATTTCACCATTTAGGCAATTGTTCATTAATTAAGGTCTATGTTTATTTTATAATTAGGAAAGTAATTCACAGTAATTAAATATTTCGTTTAAAATTTTTAAAAAAACCAACAAAAAATATATTTATAAAAGTAAAGTCAACATTAAGTTAAAATAATTAAAAATTGTAAAAGTCAAATTAAATAGACTTTTTACATGTATACTTATATTCAATTCATGGAACAGTTACTGCATATGCTAGAATCTTTTGTGACTTCTAGTTGTATTTCAAAATGTTTAATTTTTCTATTCACTAATAAAATTTTCAAATGTAATGTGTAATTCAAGGCATTACTTTGCAAAAGTAATTGTAATATAATGCATTACTTTGATAAATGCATGTAATTGTAATTGTAATATAATGCATGGTTTGGTCAAAGTAATTGTAATATAATGCATTACATTGCAATGTAATTCACCCCATGCCTGACTTACACTAAGGACAATTCAGTGTACAACAATTATTTCTAGCAAAGACAATAAAACAACCATTGACTACATTTGTATTTATTTATGCCAATAATAAGTACCCTTACTATAGATGATTTCAGTTGACATTTGATAAGAGAAATTTCTAAAGCATTAATTTGTTTATTTATTTTTCAGTCAAAATATCCTGAGATAAGACATGTTGACCTTGAAGCCTTGTGATAATGGCAAATTATATCTCATCTTATGACAGTGTGTGTATGTGTGGTATTACTCTCCTAGTTCAGTGTTTGACAGAAGGGATAAGGCAATAATCTGTGTCCACACTTATGTAATCAGTTTATTTATATCTGCATCACATACACATATTATTGCCAGGATTGTTAAACAATCTATGTTCATAGATCTCTTAAATGATTTTATGTATTGAATAGACCACTTTCTAGTTATGTCCTTAACCATAAAAGTTCGTCAATATTGCACGCCTTTATGACAACATTTACCAGATAGAGGAGACCACCTGCATCCCTGCACTTTTAAAGTTCATCAAGCCCCTTCGTGATCGTCATTATGCAGGATAAACTAGAAATAATTGTTGTTCCGTAGGTACTTAATTACAATTCCCTAATGACAGCATTGCTGATTATCAATTATAAGAAATTAATTTGCCGAATAAATTGTGCAATATAGCAACATATTTCTTCAACTGCTCGCTCAACATGGGAAGGAAGTGACCATGCCCCTAAACACACGAATGCTGTTCACTAAAACCAAAATTTTTGATGGAAATGCAATGAACTGGAAAGTATTCTATTATCAGAAAACACCATATGATTTACTGTCATAACAAAGATTAAAACTAAATTCAATGTAGCATACCTGCCAACTTCTTAAAATCTCCATTAGGAATGTGATGACAAATTTTAAAACTAAATTCAAAGTAGCATACCTGCCAACTTCTTAAAATCTCCATGAGCTATTTCAGGATAAACTTTGAATTTAATTTCAATGTAGCATATATACCTGCCAACTTCTTAAAATCTTCATTAGGGATGTGATGACAAATTGTAAAACTAAATTCAATATAGCATACCTGCCAACTTCTTAAAATCTTCATTAGGGATGTGATGACAAATTGTAAAACTAAATTCAATGTAGCATACCTGCCAACTTCTTAAAATCTTCATTACGGATGTGATGAAAAATTGTAAAACTAAATTCAATGTAGCATACCTGACAACTTCTTAAAATCTTCATTAAGGATGTGATGACAAATTTTAAAACTAAATTCAATGTAGCATACCTGCCAACTTCTTAAAATCTTCATGAGCTATTTCAGGACAAACTTTGAATTTAATTTCAATGTAGCATACCTGCCAACTTCTTAAAATCTACATGAGACATTTCTGGACAAACTTTGAATTTGAATTCAAGGTAGCATACCTGCCATTTCCTTAAAATCTCCATGAGGTATTTCAGGACAAACTTTGAATTTATATTCAATGTAGCATACCTGCCAACTTCTTAAAATCTTCTTGAGGAATGTGATGACAAATATTGAAGTCAAATTCAATGTAGCATGTAATTGAGAATGGAAATGGGGAATGTGTCAAAGAGGCAACAACCCGACCATAGAACAGACAACAGCAGAAGGTCACCAACAGGTCTTCAATGCAGCGTGAAATTCCCGCACCCGGAGGCGTCCTTCAGCTGGCCCCTAAACAAATATATATACTAGTTCAGTAATAATGAACGCCATACTAAACTCCAAATTGTACACAAGAAACTAAAATTAAAAATAATACAAGACTAACAAAGGCTAGAGGCTCCTGACTTGGGACAGGCGCAAAAATGCGGCGGGGTTAAACATGTTTATGAGATCTCAACCCTCCCCCTATACCTCTAGCCAATGTAGAAAAGTAAACGCATAACAATACGCACATTAAAATTCAGTTCAAGAGAAATCCGAGTCTGATGTCAGAAGATGTAAACAAAGAAAATAAACAAAATGACAATAATACATAAATAACAAGAGACTACTAGCAGTTAACTGACATGCCAGCTCCAGACTTCAATTAAACTGATTGAAAGATTATGTCTTCATCATATGAATATCAGGCACAATCCTTCCCGTTAGGGGTTTAGTATCATACCATCATAACATATATGAGAAGAACATAACCTGTGTCATGCCAACAACTTCTTTGAAACTTGATGAGGGATGTCATGTGACAAATGTTAAAACCAAATTCAATGTAGCATACCTGCCAACTTCTTAGAATCTCTGTGGGTTCTCCTTGGTTGATAAAGTTTTCTCGGGGTAACAATCTGCTCTATCAGCTTTAAGCTATGTGTTAATTATATAATATCCTTTCTGTTACAAATATTTAAGACTTTCATTATATAGTGTATGTTAGAGAATGTCCTTCAAGTTTTATATGTTGAAGAAAATTTTTTATGTTATGAAATGTACTTTATGATATTGTATGCCAGAGTATGTCATTACCAGTATGTTTGTTATTTAGATAATTTGCTACATGTAAATGATGTACATTGTGCAATGTGAGCTTAGAGAATATTCTTAATGCAATGTGTGATGAGTTTTGTCCTTGATATACCATGAATTAGAGAAGATGTGGAGTAAAAGACAGTTAGATAGCACTCTATATAGATAAAGGAAGATGTGGTATGAGTGCCAATGAGACAACTCTCCATCCAAGTTACAATTTATAAAAGTAAACCATTATAGGTCAAGGTACGGCCTTCAACACGGAGCATTGGTTCACATCAAACAGCAAGCTATAAAGGGCCCCAAAAAACATGTTACAGGAATTTTGTTACTTTTATCATTGTAAACTACTGCAACCTAACAACCAATATAACCCTAAGACTTCTAGAGGGGATATATAACTCACCTAGGGTATATAAAGTTTTTAATAACCCTAAGACATCTAGAGGGAAACATTACTCACCACAGGTATAGAAAGTTGTGAATAAGATCTGCCATCAAAACCAAATTCTATGTACATAAGTTTTTCACTTTTATATTATATATGAAACATTTTATTTATTTACCAATCCAATATGTCTGCATATTTAAAAGTCATGGGGATTTTTTTTGTATTTAAAAAAGAAAATGATAGTCGAAAGTAGAATTTTGAATTCTGTTACTTTTATCATTGTAAACTACTGCAACATGTGCTGGAGAGGCGATAGATACCAACAGGATATTCAAACTCAAAAGTTGGAAACATACTGACATACAAACAAAAAAACGAACAAAAGACAACAACAGCACACAAAACTCAACATAGAAAACTACAGACTGAGTAACACAAACCCCATGGGTGATCTCAGGTGCTCTGGAAGAGTAAGCAGGTCCTGCTAGGGGACTGTATTTACGACAATTGGAACATATTCGTCATAATCTTTGAAACAGGTATTCCATAACAGTCAACCAACTAGTGATGGCGTCCCTAAGATTTTTTAAGGGATCATTTTTTATTAATAAATTTGGCATTATTGTTGGTTGTAGAAAATTAGCTATTATAAATTATCTCAGATTCTGAAGTAACAGTATTAGCACCTACAAACGTGACCTTACTGTAAAACCTGTCATACTCACCCAAGCATGTCTGAATCAATGGATACCAAAACATGCCTAGTTGTCTGTGTAATGGCATCTTTCCTGTGCTGAAATGTATTCTATCAGTATTTCATGCTCCAACTTGTCTTTTAATGAGCCTCCTCTTGGGGTTTTTGATTATGTGATTACTTTTTATAGTGATTATTTGATTACCAGACCAGATATTTCATGATTATTTGATAATCTAGGACTATATTTTTGATTATTTGATTATCTTGTTTAAAAAAAAAAATTAATGATCATGTGATTATATTGGCAAAACATTTGTGATTATGTGATTATTTGGACACCCCCATGGGGGGCCTCTTTAATTGGCAATTAAATATATGTTCCTTGAATTTTCCTGATTGCATTTGATCTAGATCTTTTAAAATCACTGGTATGTTTATTTACAAAATTTTCATGAATATATTCTAAGCTTGCAAGTGAGACAGATGTAAAGGGACATAACTCATTAAAAATCACTGGTATGTTTGTGTCAAAGATTTTAATGAATATGTTCAAAGCTACTAAATAACACAGATTATTTTAGTTCTGTTTCACATGAATGCATTAGAATCCTTGATAAAAAATGTCCATTATGACAAAATACTGATTTTTAAAGTTTCTTCATTAAACTCAATTCTACCTCTCATAAAATATTGTTGATGATACTTATTTTTAGGGAATTCTCTGTGTATTCTGGTTTCATAGTTCTCTGTGTGTTCTGGTTTCATAGCTATCTATGTATTCATTAATCTTTGTTCTTTTTGCTCCAAACCTGAATACAGAAATGTGCATTAAATGCAACCCTAAATGACTTTTGGGCAAACAAACAAAAATTTGCTGGTTCTGACCATTCCTGCAATGTGTATTGAACTTTGAAGAAAACAAACTGTGTTGGTGACCTCAATATGACTTATTTCTGCAAATCATATACATTTAACTACATTTTAAGTGAGTTTGACATGTCTGGGTGTGTTATGGACACAATATATATGTCAGGAATTGTTCCCAAATATTCTAGATATTGTCCAGCTCATTTTATAAGTTAGAGAATGTTTTGTTATGTCTGCATCACAGTGTATTTTATGTTTCATATCAATAAAAAAAAATCCCACTTTTTACGTATATTTGTATATGTCTTTTTTATTATGCTACCTGACTAAAAATCCAGAGCGTAAAGTTGTCTGTTGGTCCATCTTTCTGCCCCTCTTTGTTTCAGAAACAAATGTTTGAGTTTCCTTTGCTTAGTAACAACATAACTTATATAAATTGAATATACACGGAAGGGATTGAAGCCAAATGGTTTTGGGGTCAACAGTTTAAGTTCACTTACTAATAATAAAAAAATGGGAAAAAATGGATTCCAGGTTATAATATGAGTTTCCTTTGCTAATCTACAAATAAAAAAAAACTTGTATATATGGATGATATCGGAAAGGTGAAAAAAAACTATCGCTTTCATGGCCAAAGATACAATTTGTTGTTTCTGATAGATTACTTCAGATACTTGTTTGATTTTCATACAACTTAGGGATCATAGATTTATTCTTACGAGCAAGCTCGGAGCATGCTCAGAAGATGCTCGGAGCTTTTTAAGTAGGCTCTTCTCAGCAGTTAATGTGACAATAATTATCATGATCCATTAAGATGTCAATCAAATCTACATCACTTCTATGATAAGGAAAGTAGAGCATTATAGAGGAAGCTCCATAAACACCTGTATAAACATCTGGTCTATTCAAATACATTTTGCATGAAATTTTACAAAACTATAAAATAGATTAGAAATTCTTCAACAGTGCTGTGTAATGCTTGGAAAGTAATCTCAAGTCTCCACAAAAAGTAAAAGTCATTTAAATATTTTCTTATTATATTTAATAATAATTCCTTTTTTTATAAAAAAAAATTCTCAAATTTTATAATTAGATGATATGATTTAAAAATAGTTTATATTATATAATATGCTACATAAAAGTGATTAAGACACAAACAACAGTCAGGTGGCTATACTAAACAAGCCATTTTTTTTAGTCACTTTTATAAGTATTTTTTGTTTTTAAATATTATTTAATAACTCAATAGTTATTTTAAATGTCAAATAAAGCATGGACTAAATGTAGTTTTTAAGAATTTTTATATCATTTCATTAAATAAAATTAAGTATTTATCCAATTTTAGATGAGTATAGAGAGGTTACTTTAAAAAATAATGACAAAAATATTACTTTAATAAATTATTTTATACAACTTCAAAAAACTTAGTACTTACAATTATTTAAGGAATATATGTAATTGCCTTTGATTAAGATTCAAATTATAAATAACTTCAAGTCTTAAATAAAGGTTCCAAAAGTTATAACTGTCTATCTCTAAGATTTTAAG